TTTTTAAGGATTTTTTCTAAAAAATAAAGGAAAAAATGCAAAAAATTTATAACTCCCATCCAGTGGACAACCAAACTTTAAAAAACGTATTAAACTCGAGGGTGTACATATGTATATTAAATTATATTAGAAGTAGGGTTGGGGTTTTCGAGTCGGGCCGACGTTCGAGTCATTTTTTTCGTACCGGCCAGACCGAGTCTTTTTCGGGACAAAATTCGATCCGGGCCCAACTCTAATTAGAAGTTAAACTGTACTTAGTTTTAAAATAATTAAAAGTTTTTGTAAAAATAATTATTAAAATAAAAATTGGAAAGAAAGTTTTTGATAAAAATGCAAATAAATTTATAAAAACAAAAAAAATCCCGCAGCGATAAGAAAAAAATTTTTTTAGAATTCTAAATGAGAAAAAAAGGAGGGAGACATATATTGATGTTTTTTGTGTTATTTTTACTTAATATTGTGGAGAGCTTTAGTAAAAAAATTTTAGATGAAGTGGATAAGATAAGGAAAAATGCAAAAAAATTTATACAAAATATATACACTTTACACAAAAATAATAATGAAGAAAATCTAAATTCCTTTTTTAATTAAAAAGTAATTAAATAATTAAGAGAGAGTAAGCAACTAATTAATCTTTAATTTAATTAAATATATTTTTAATATTTTGTTAGGCAATTCTTAGTTCTTAAATGTTTATCTAAAGTTGACACGTGGAAATAAATAATAAGAGAGCCTAAATGGGAAGTAAATTGAACTTGGGATCATTAACAAGAAGAATCGCCACAGAATTCCCAATTAATTTATAATATTTTATTAGACAATTCGTTTTTTTAAATGTTTATCTAAAGCAGAAATAGGTTAAGAATACTCGGAAATTTCAAAACTTGGAAATAAATAATAAATCTTGAAAAAAGTTTTTTTATCATAGCTTAAATCGGAATTAAACTAAATTGCCACAAAATTCCTAATTAACATTTTTGATAAAACAAACGAATATTTTAATTTAATAAATTAAAGAATTAATTAATTTAAAAAAATATAATTAATAAAATATTAAATATTTTTGACTAAAAAATATTTCCCCATGTCTAGCTTTATGTCTAGACTTTAAAATTAATTATTAATTTTGACACGTGTATCCATCCTTTAATTATTTTTTTAAAAATATTATTTAATTAAAAATTTTTTTTAAATTAGTTTATATCAGAAAAGCATTGACCCCCCGGTGTTATCATACTTATTTCTCAACCCCAGAAATTTCACATAAAATTCAAAAAAATATCTTTTACCTATGCATAGATTTTGTTGCAAACAAAATAAAATCAAGTTTTTGATTATTACAATTTTTGTTGTTTTTCTTTTTTTCTAAAACAAACAAAGGGGAAGTTTTCCTCCTTGTTTCTCCTTTGTTGTGTTTTGTTGTTATTAATGTTTTGTCAAATATTTGTTTTTTGAATTGTTTTTGGAATATTTGTTGTTGGTGTTCAGTGCTCAACTCGGCACCCATCAATTGCCCGACGGCGGGAATTTAGGGGATAAATGGGGAGAAAACTGCAAAATTAATTTTTTAAATAAAAATTATTTTTAAAATTTCTCCTAAAAAATAACCAAAAAATTCTTTTCTTTTTACAAAAACATTGATGAGTAGTTTTGGGGGATTTGGGGGATATTATTTTATAGAAAAAAGAGATGGGAGGACTTGCGTGGAGAAGATAAAATTGAATTTATTTTTTAGAGAATGTCGTCGTCAGGCAACGCATAAATTGAGAACAAAATAAAATTTAGTATATTTTAGTATTTTATAAAATAAAAAAAACTTTAAAAATAAATAGGATAACTTTTAAAATGAAAATAATTGTGTTTTTATTATTTGTAGGGAACTTGAAGCTTGTTTGTTAATTTAAATAAACTTGTTGGGAAACGCTAAATAAACATGGCAAACAAAATAAAAATTGGAACAAAAAACATTCTAAAACATTGATTAAAACATAAAACAAAACATTTAAAGAAACAGAAACAAGTTTTGAATGAACTAAAACAACAAACAATGTTGGAATAGAAATTAAAACAGAATTAAAACAAACATTAAAACAAACATTTTCAGAATTAAAACAAACACGAGAAAAACATGCTGAGAAAAAAAGACAATAAAATAAACTTGGGAACTTAAATAAAGTTGAACATGTTTTGCCAAACATAAGTTCAGCTGCTAATGTTATTAAGAAAAACAAAGTTCATCAAATGAAATTTTGAACTCGTTTAAAACAAAAATAGCCTAAATTCACTCGATTTTCGCTCTTAACAAGTTTTTAAAAATTTCAGTGAGAGAGAAACTCTTTTTAAGGAAAGCAACAAAAGAGAGACAACTTCAACAAAAATCCCCTCAATATGTCCTCCCCCCTCTTTTGTTAAACTTCCTTTTCTTCCATTATGAAAGAACCAATCTCTCCCTCTCTTTTCTCTCTCCATATATGAACAGTCAATGTTGGGAGGGGGGGGGGGGCTTGGCAAATCTTGCAAAGGCCTTTATTTTTCTTTAAAAGACAGCAAATTGCTTTTGAGGCAAAAAGTGTAAAGAAAAGGTGAATGAATTGAGTAAAAAAAAGAGAAAAATAGCCTTTGGCTAAAATTGTAAATGCATCAAAAAGTGCGCTATTTTATTGAAAAAAAGTTAAAAGTTTGTGTAGCTTAAATTCTTTTTGAATTTTTTATTAAATTGTGGCAATAACAATTAAAAAGCACTTTTTTGACATTTTTAGCTAATTTTCTTCAAGAAAAACAAATTAAAAATGTATTAGGTAGATAATATGTAGTTGTAAAAATAGTAAAGTTTATTAACTACTAGAGCTCCTGCTGGGTAAATAAAATTTTTAGAAAAAACTTTTGAACTTGAATTCGAAAATAGAAAATTCTATATACGAAGAAGCCCAAGAAGAAGCCCAAGAAGAAGCCCAAGTTTCTAAAAATATAAATCAGTCCTTTTCATTTTATTAAATGTAAGGCTAGTACATTTTTTGCCAATAATAAACACTAATATTTTTCTAACATCAGAAATGCCTTGCAATATGTTAGGCTTTAAAATTAATATAGTTGACACGTGTCTGCGCGGAAAAAATCCTGGCATCGTCTATATGGATAAAATTACGTGCCAAGAAGGATGTGTGAATTAATATCTAAGAGGGAGGGAAAAATATGAAGACATTAAAAATAAAAAAACATCAAAAATTTTACTTTTGAAGTTGAAAGTTATTCTTCTATTTAATTTTAACAAACTTTCCTTTAATTTTTTATATTTTTATTCGATAACTCTAATTATCCTCTAAAAATTTATTTTTATGTTAAACTTTAATAAAATTGTCATCCGAGTGAAAAAAAAGTATGAAAATTCTGTGCCAGTCGAATAATTCTACAAAATAGAAATTGAGACAAACCAAAAAAGCAAAAGGCGCACTTTTGGCCGCTGACTTTAGATAAAATAGGAAATTATGCAAGGAATAAAATGGCTGAAACAACAAGGCAAATGACGGGAATAGTAAAAACAAGTTTTTAGTGCGCGCATGTCAAATTAGTTGTGAATGGACGAAGGCCACAAACAGCCAAGTTTAGTCTTTTCTTTTTCAAATGGCCCTGTTTTGCAGCTAGTATGGGTCAAATACTTGCAATTTTGATGAATAATTTAAGAGTTAACGAAGGCTTGTGGGCAAATTCTCACATCAATTTTATTCCAATTTTCTTGGATTTGAGTGAGGCTGATTTAAAATATTGTTTAAAAATAAATGTAACCAAATTAGTTGGAGGGAGAGGATCAAAAAAGGAGAAATATTTATCGAATCTTCCTCTATTTATCAACTCAAATAGGTGAAAGACAATCTTTCAAAAGGATACTACTACTTAACTTATCTCTCTCCCTATTCCTATCTCTCAGTCAAAAAAAAGAAAGCTCAACTCAAACAAATATTTATTTAAAACAAACAAACAATATATACAACAATGTTTGGGCAATAGATTATCACAACAAAAATACATTTACAACATAATAGGATGAGAGTGATTGCACAACATATAGGACACAATATACAGTGGAAATATATCACAAGGGTGAGAATCTTTTCTACATGGCAATCACAGTGGCACTTCATGATCATCACGCATCTTCCGCTTCCGTCCTATTCGCGCTCGAAGCGCACTCGGAGGTGCTTCAACCCCTGCCCCCTCTTCAGCATTTTCTCTTGCCGGGCAGGGGTGTTCGCGTTCAAAGCGAACGCGGAGGTACTTGACCCCCATCCCCTTCTTCATCATCTGCATTCTGGCAGGGATGTTTGGGGTCTGCGTTGTCGTGGTTGTAGACCGCGACGTCTGAAAAGGAAAAAATGCTTGATGTGGCAAAAGTGAAAAGTGCAGCAACAAACATTGATGATCGTCCGCTGGCAAGTTTTCCTCGGTCAGGAGACTCAGCCTAACCGTCGCCGAGCCCCCAGGTGAGCCCTACAGGCCTTTGTCTCATCGTTTGGCGGATCTTGTGGACGACTTAAATAAATTTCTGTATTTAAAATTAAATGAAGAATAAACATACACATTGGTGAAGAACACATCAGAGCACAGGAAGAATACGGTGGTCAGCATGACGGCAGAGAGCGGTGGTGACGACTTCATGTTGTTGTTTGAATTACGCAACGATATGATGTGAAGAATGCGATGGTTGCTGATTGTTGGAATATTTTATGAGGAAATTATTGAGCTTTTATAGTATAATAATCAAAATAGATAAAGTTAAATTTGTTTTTGGTCTTGGATGATCTCAAAGTGTTTAAAAATAAATTGTAGGCAAACAAGATCGAGCTTATTCAAACAAACAATAAAATGAGAGAAAGTAAGGAAATTACAGTAAATCTCTCATTCACTTTTTTCTCTTAATTCTCTTTATTTTACATGCTCTCTCCTTATAAAACCTCAAAAAGTACAAGCCTGTTTGTAGCGAAGTGTCAGAGCTTTTTTCTTGATTTTTCGATTCCTTTCTTTTCATTTCCTTTAAAGGATTTACAATGCAAAATGTTCAGCTACAGCAATGCCTTCAAACTTTACATAATCAAATAATTACTGGCAATTGTTTAATAGCTGAGCTTTATCGATTATCCTTGAATACACCCTTCGATTTTTTAAATTTTCAAACGTCACGCTTTTCAAAATTGTTAATTGACTTTTCCTATTTTGAGAATCGAGCGTCTTTTGACAAATTTACTGAACAAACAGAGGTTTGTTGATTTTTTCGTCTTGGATTGAAGGAATTTAACAAAAAAAATTTCATATTTTTCTAGGAAGGACGACAATTGGAAGAGAAATTTTTTGCTGATTTCACACCCTTTCTAAACTCGTTTGCGCGTTTTATTGACCAACTTTATTCTTTTCTTACGGATTTTATTGAGTTTGTAAAATTTAAATTTTTTTCAATTTTTTTCTTTTTCAGTTTCTCAAGAGAATATGTTGACTACTGGCGTGAACTTTTTACTCGTTTCAAATGTCTTGACGAACTTGAGCTTCTTAGTGCACAACTTTTATACATTTTGGGGCTGTTATTGGTTCTTTTTGACTTTAAATTTCCTGCTATTATTCGAGAAAGAATTTTCGTAGCTTTGTACAGGCTTAGGTTTATTTTCTTAATTTTTATTTTACTTTTTTCTCTAGAATGGATTTTGAAGCTAGCAAACTTGAAATACTTGTAAATATCTGTAGAAATCGTCGGGAGCCTTTTGAGTTTTGTTTAGCGTATGTTTTATTTTTCTTTTTTTTTTATTTTCTCTAAAATTTTTCTGTTTTTCCCTCCAAAATTAAAATTGGTTAGGTATATTGATGTGAACCGGACATACCTTCTTTTTCCCTCCCCAATTTTCCCCTATATTTTTGCAAAATGGTCAGACTTCGTTTCTTCCATCCAAATTGCATTTCTAATTTTTGCCTACAATCAAACAAAAATGATTATTTAATTTTATACAAGTGCAAGTACATGCCAAAAACAAGTAAAAGGAAGAAAAATATAGTGGAAAAATTAGGGAGAAAAAAGGGGATCTGTCCGGTTCAATATTACCCTTAAAATTTTTAAAATAAATTTTTTTAGAACGCTCGGAATTAACATTCAATTTATTAGTCAAATGATTTTATTTTTGCGGTTTTACAAAGGCCCAAAAATTGGATGGTTAGAAAATTGTGTCTATATTTGTTTATATTTTGAAGATGGCCATCAAACTTTAAAAAATCAATTTTCTATTATGCGCCAATTAATTGATAATTATTTTAATGATCGCTGGATTTTGCATTTTCATGTTGATTTTAAAGGTTTTTAAAACTTTTAATTTTATTTTAAAATTTTTTTAAATTTATTAAAGTAAATTTACACGAAAAATGGGAAGGGTATAAAGCGGCCAGTGCTGCTCTCCAAAATGTTCGAGAATTGTGGCCTATTTCTAAATTGGCTTTGTCTCATCTAAATATTATTCAATCACCTCGTTTTCCGTCTGGTCTTTTAAGTTTGGAAAAATTTGGAAATTATAAGAAAATAATTGATGAATTTAATACAAGTTTAAAATGGCTAATTTTGCATAGTTCTCCAAAAGGTTATTTTTTGATTAAATATTTTCAATAATTTTCAAAATAAATTTTAGTCAATCCAAAATTAAATTTATCTTCATTAATTAAAAAAGATGTTTTATTGGAAGCACTCAAAAAATTGGCACATTTTGAATTTAAATTGAAACAGGTTTTTAATTAAATATATTTTTTTATTTTATTTTTTACAGGCAGAAAATTATTTACGTTCTAATTGGATTGAGAGTATAGAAAAATTAAAGCAGATAATAGTCAATAATTTATCTCAAATTATTGCGTTTTTGCCCAATTCGTCTTTAGATTCAGAAAATGCTAAAAGGACAGGTTATTTTTTGATGAATTTTAAAAATTTGGATCGGGGTAGCAAAGGCGTATCCAGGGGCTGAAGCCTTCCCCTCCTCCCCGAAATGGGGGAAATGAGGGAAAAATTTGGAGAATGATGATCAAAAAAATTTTTTATTAAATTTTTCTTTAGGACGTATTGTCACTTGGTTAGAATCTGTTCGTAGCAGTATTAATCAACTAGAAACAAATTCCTCTGACAACGATAAATCAATTCAATTACTCGAAAATATATGTACAAGAATATCTTCTGTTACTTCTAATCAACTTTCTTCAGAAAAACAACAAAATTTAATTTTGCACCATTCTTTGGAAGTTGCTAATTCTGATCTTCGACGATTACAAAATATTTATTCTATTAATGTAAATGAGAATAATGATGCTGGGAAGGAGGTTTTAATTTTTTGACAAGGGCGTAGTCAGGGATCGATTTCGAGGGGGGGCTAAAATGGTGTGTGCGCCAAAAAACCCCGGAAGCCCCCCTCTAGCTACGCCCTTGTTATCTGACTATTGAAATTTTACTAAAAAAATATTTTTAGAATTCTTTATGTCAATTAACCGACTCTTCTTCAATTTATTTATTTCTTTTTGTTGATGAAAATTGTTCACTTATTGAAAAACTTCTACGGGAGGATCCCCTTTCTGTTCGTTTCATTTTTCTCAAATTGACAGCTTCTGTGCCTGGATTGTTTATTCATGGACCTTCAACTAAAATACCTGAATTATTTGCCAAAAAACTTTCTTTCTTTTATTATAAAGTTTTGGAAGTTAAATTACGTTTAGTTGTTCAGGTTTGTAAACTTTTCTTGTTATTTTTTAATTTTCCAAATTTTAAGGCAATTCCTCGTGCTATTTTTGAAGAGATGAACAATCTTAACCAATATTTTTCTCCCGACTCGCAGTCAGTTTGGGTAGAGAAAAATCGAATTGAACAATTTGCTGACCTTCCAAGAAGGCGAAAACTTGCTGAATTAACATATAAAATATCTCGTCTAGCTATGGGTATTGCACAGACTTGTATTAAAGAATTGGGTGGTGATGTTGAAATTAACCCTCGAGCACTTTTATCTGATGGACTTTGCAATGAATTAAAAGTAAATTTTTTTAGAGTTTTTTGGCCTATAAAAAATTCAATTTAGAAACGTCTTGTCATCATTCTCTCGGCAGACTTACCTCCTTTAAATGACAATTCTTCCTCTTCAGTTTTTGGTGTTTTAGAACGTCGCCGCCATCTTCGTTTACACCAATTCAGAAAAGCTTTTCTTTTTGTTTGTGAGCATGTTGGTATTCGAAATGGAATACAAATCTGGGCAGAACAAATGCATTCTGTTACAAGGGATTGTTTGGCTAGAAAATTAGCAGAAGAACAAATGGTTTTTAATTTTTTATTTAAAAGATTTATTTTCTCATTAGCCTTCTCCAAATTATGGACCTTCTACTGCTGTTTCACTTTCTACTTTACCTGAAATGAATGTTGGACGTTTTTTCGATTTTATGTTAACCATTACAAAGCCAAAGTTTTATTTATAATTTTTTAAGTAAAATTTGTTTATTTTTAGTCTATGCATTTACAATCCTTCAGAATCAACTTGGCGTTCAGTTTCTGATCGCAGCTTGAAATTTGCTTATACAGGATTTGCTTCGTTAGAAGTTGGTTATTTTTAAAATACTTGAGCGACTTACATTTGGCTTTTGGTTTTAAAAATATCCACAACTGGATTAACCCCTCCACTTAATTTCCTATGACAATTCTTTACTTTCTCTAAAAGGGAGCAGGCCAGTGTACGGCGGGCCCAATGTACCGCTGTGCTATAACTTTGTTCAAAATTGTCGAATCCGTGAAGCCCTGATATGGTTCGATTTAGCTGGCCGAGTCGCAACGAACCATGTCTGGGCGTCACGGATTCGACAATTTTGAACAAAGTGATAGCTCGGCGGTAAATTGGGCTTGCGGTACATTGGGTTGTACCCCTCTAAAATTCACATTTTCAGAATTGGATGCTTTCTGGCCTAGCTACACTTACTGGATTAGTTCTCCATTCTGAAATTAATGCTATCTCTAAAAAACTTTCTTCAAAAAATTTTACTAATATTTTGAATTCCTCTTCCATCCAACTTGATCTTTTATCAATTCAAAAATATTTTAATCAAAAAAATGTCCCCTCCACCCAATTCGCTTTTGATGGAAATTCCAAAGAATTTTTTCTTTCAATTGCAAAAATTGGTCAGCTTTTTATTCTTCTTGCCAATTTACATGTATTTGTGGATGCTGAGGTTCAAAGTCAATTGGGAGTTGTATGGAAAGCAGCTAGGGAATTTTGGAGGTTTTTTAAAGAAATTTTCTTTTAATTTTTTAAAATATTTTTTATTATAGTTCTCTTGAAATTGATGTTCTTTCGGATTCTCAAATACCAGAACTTTCTGAAACACTTTATCTCCGTTCAAATGAATTAGTCGATTTATTACCAAAAGTTTGTATTTTTTATTAAAAATTAGAGAAAATTTTTAAAAAATATTTTTTAGTTTGTTTTTATTAAATCTTCAAAGTCCCAACTTTTTTTATTGGCTACTTTACTTCATTTTTTACAATTTGGAAGCACAAGTTTGTTCTTTTAAATACAAATTTTTAAGAAAATATTTATTTCAGCAATTTCTACAAATAAAAGAAGGGAGTTTTTAGACAGTTTTGCAGTAATTCAAGGATGTTTTTTGTTGTTAAAAGAAAATGGGTTAATTTGGAAGAATTTACCCTATTTAAATTTTAATAAAAATTCTAGACTTCCCAAATTTTTATTTAATAATTATCCCCTAAAAATTAAATAATTTATTCTTAAATTTAAATTTGATAAAGAATTTTATTTAAAAAAAATTTTTTCCTCGAATTTATTAATTTAATTTTTTTTAAATACTTTTTTCAAAAAATTTTATTTCACTCTCCTTTCCATTAATTGTTTGTGTAAAGAACAAAGTTCATTTGCCCACCTGAACATTTTTTTTCTTTAAGCATTTTTGGGTGGATTCTTTTCATGAGAAAAACGAGTAGAAAAGGTCATTTCCTATTGATTTTTTGGGTGGAAATTTTTTTATCATTTACATAATTTTATTTTTTTACAGATAAATAACGGGTATTTAAATAATCGTTATTTAAAAATGTCTGAAACTAATTTTGTTTTAAATTTTATTTCTGGAGGTGTTGGGGGATGTTGTGCTGTGATTGTAGGTTAATTTATTTTCAATTTCTTAACTTTATTTAATTTTCAGGCCATCCTTTTGACACAGTCAAAGTTAGGCTTCAAACAATGCCGAGACCAATAAATGGCCAAAAACCTTTGGTTTGTGAATTTTTAAAAATTTCTAAATTTTAGTTAAAAAATTTCTTTTTAGTATACGGGTGCTATGGACTGTGCTAGACAAACTGTTACGAAAGAAGGATTTTTTGTAAAAAAAATTTAAAAAAAATTTTTTAAAAGTAAAATTTTTAAGGCTCTCTATAAAGGAATGGCAGCACCTTTAGTTGGCGTTTCTCCTTTATTTGCTGTCTTCTTTGGTGGTACAGCTGTCGGCAAATGGTTATTACAGAAAGATCCTAATCAAAAACTTTCTTTTGGTCAAAATTTTACTGCAGGTTTTTTTAAAAAATAATTTTTTGTAAAAAATTATTTTAAGGAGCTATTGCTGGTATTTTCACAACTTCTGTAATGGTTCCAGGTTTTTTTTAAGTATTTTTTGAGAATTTAAATTAAATATTTCAGGTGAAAGAATTAAATGTATACTTCAAGTTCAACATTCGGGTGGAGCTGCTCAAAAATATGGTAACGAAATATTAATTTTTAAAAAATCTGTGAATAGAAAGGATCCAAATAAATTATTGGCCATGAATTTATTGTAAAATTTTTGAAAAAAAACAAAAATTTGAGTTCCTACTTATTCTTACAAAAATTTTTTAATTATGTACTAGTAATATGAGAAATAAAAATTTAAAAGAATAAGAGAGGGTTAAAAGATTTTATTTAAAATCTTGAATGAGATGGGGGAGGGGGGAAGTCGAAAAGGTTGGAAACCCCCACAAATTTTTTTCATTTTATAATAAATTAAATCCAAAAATAATTTTAAAAATTCTATTTTAACAGATGGACCAGTAGATGTTGTCAAAAAATTATACAAAGAAGGTGGAATTAAAAGTATTTATCGAGGAACGGGAGCAACACTTTTAAGAGGTTTTTTAAAATTGAAATAAAAATTATTTTTTAAAAGATATTCCTGCAAGCGGTGCTTATATTTCTGTATATGAATTTTTGAAAGCCAAATTCTCTGGTGAACAAGGAAAATTAACACCGATGACAACGTAGATATTAATTTAAAAAAATAAATATTTGATTTTTTAGTTTAATGGCTGGAGGGTTTGCAGGAATAGCTAACTGGTCTGTGTGTATTCCAGCTGATGTGAGTTTGATTTTTAAATAAATTTTGGGGATATTTATGTATTTTGGTATAGAAAATTTCTGTTATCTGTCCAAATTTTCTTCCACCTTCCCTCTCTCTTTCTCCAAAAATATTGCAAATTGCCAAACGTACATAATGCTCATTTAGAATCAAAGTGCTAGTTTTCCAGGACTCTTATGTAGGCTCAATTTAAAAATATATCCTGGTGTGGTTAAAGTTAAAAAATTTTACAATTAGCTTTGTTTTAACAAATTTAATTCGTTTTACTAATTCTCGTTTTTTTAATATTTTGGGAAAATGGAGAAAAAAAAGTAGGGAAGGAAAATACGAGTAGACATCGATTATAATTTTTGATTTTATTCTGCCTTTATTTCCTTAAATTTAATCGTTCTTTTGTCAATTTAGAAGAATCAAAACTTTAAAATAATTTAAGGTAATGAAATCCCGTTTACAAACAGCTCCGGAAGGCAAATATCCTGGTAATATTAGAAAATATTCCTTAAAATTAAAAATTATTTTAGATGGAATAAGAGGTGTATTTCGTGAAATAATGCGTGAAGAGGGTCCTCGTGCTTTATTTAGAGGTTTTGCACCTGTTATGTTAAGGTAAATGAAAGAAAAAATTCTCTAATTACAAGACAATTCTTTTCTTTTTAAGAGCATTTCCTGCTAACGCTGCATGTTTTTCTGGTTTAGAATTAACTCTTTGGCTATTCCGTAATTTACATATGGGTTAAAATAAAATAAATTCTGAAAAAATAAATGTAGAATTTTTAATTGTAATTAATTAACTAAAAAAGAGGAGGGGAATTAAAATAGAGGAGAAAATATTTACATTTTCCAGTATTTTTGTTTATTAATAATTGAATTGTTTTTTTGTTTTGTAAGATGATTAATGCCTCAAAATTATTTTTTTTAAAAAATAAAAAATTGGAGATTATTTTAAAAAATATTAGAAAATAAAATGGGGATTTAGGAGTTAACTTTTATTAAAATTATTGTTAGTAGAATTTTTAAAAATATTTTTTAAATTTTTTTATGTCGACGAGATCATAGAATTCGGAGTTCTCAAAGGATGTGTATTCAAATCTTTTTTAAAATAAAAATATTATGAACCAGAAAATAACCGTTTTGCCTAATTTATAGGCCAACCATTACACCCCCAAAAATTCGTTTATTTATTCTTCTCAAAACTTTAAATATTTAATCTTTTTCTATTACAAACTTCATATTCTAATAAAATTGCCTGTAAATTGGTCGATTTATTTTGTGTTTAGAAAAATTTTGTAGTCTCTCGGGAAATGTATTTAACGATATATATTTAATACAAAAAATAAGGTTAGAGAGAGGGACTTGGTAACGAAATGAATGAAAATGACAAGAAAGGAAGTGTGTGGGGGAAGGTAATTTAAGGGGGGAAGGTAATGTGGCAGCTAAAAAATACATGCTTAATATTGGATAAAAGCGAATAAAAGAAGTGAGTTAAAGGTAATTCTCTTATTTTTATAAATTGGTTTTGTAAACAGGCCAGAGAATTATTAACTTATGATTACCTTGGATATACTGTAGCCCTGAATTAGATACATTTAACTCTCATTATTAGCTCATACAACTAAAATTTAATTTACCTGTTTTATTTTTTATTCTTCCTAGGAATTCTTATTTTTTCTTTTTAATATTATTCTTGTAGAAAAACAACATGTAAATATTTAATAAAATTTTAAGCAATGTGGTTAATTAAACCGTTTACTTAAAATTTATTTTAAAATCTCGTCATATTTCTCGAGGAGATTTGTTTATTTTTGCGCTAAAATATACAATAATAATTTAAAGTAAACTCAATTTCCTTTACTAAAAATAAAAGAATAAATCTTTTTTTCATTTTTTTGTGGTCATCTTAAACTTGATTTATTAAAATATTTTTTTTTAAAATATTAAAAATACCCATAAATTATATTATTCGATGGCTTTATTATAAAATAATATTTTTTCTATCTACTTACTTATTTACCTCAACTATTTATTTCCTTTTTTTGAATGGCCAACGGGTAAAAGCCTTTACTTATTTAGTTTTGCTCTTTTTTAGCTTTATATTAGCCTTAACCCTTTTCTTTCCCTCTTCACCCCTTTTTGTCCTTTTCTTCCTTCCCCCCTTCTTATCATCATCATCGTTTATTTATTTCCCACTGCTATGTGTGTATTTGGCTTTTTCTACTCCGTTTGTTTTGTCCCCCCTTTTTTTCCTTTTATTTTTTGTCTGCGCTAAAGGGGTGGAAGGGTAAGGGGGTATTTGCCCGGCTTTTCCTTATTTTTTTTGTGTTCAATTTCTTCTCAAGTTTCAACTTCTGCTTTTCATTGAATTTTTATTTAACACAAAAGAAAAAAGGGTCGAGAGTGGAGGGCTTTGCACGCAATTTAATCAATTCGTTTTTGTTTTTAAGTGGATTGTTTAAAATAAATAAAAAAATATTCCTTTAAAGGAAGTACTCTTTTAACGGAAATTTCCTTAAAATGTTAAAAGAAAAATTTTTAAACTGCCAAAACTTCTAATCCGGTAAAGTCCCTTCCTTTAACTCTATAATAACGTCCTTTTCACTTTTTTTAGTTAACTTTTCCTTGATAAAAATTTTCTTGTTTATTTTTCAAGTCCCATAATTTTTATTTACTTATCCTTCCTTTCCACTACTATTCTCCAAAAGCTAACCGTTGGATCAGCTTTTTATTCTGTTTTGAAGGCAAGGGCCTGTTCTTAATAAGACAGAAGTTATAAGTCGCTTCGTCAACCACTCGTCCAGGAATGAGAAAAAATCTCATTCAAGGTAGTGCGAACATTTGCCGTAAATTTTTTCACGCGCTTTGAACTCTTTATCCGAGCAAAGGGTGGGCATTTCGATAATTCTTAATTTTATTTGTTCCCCATTCATTTCTCTATTATTTAAGCCTTATTTGATCCCATTATTTTCAATTTGAATAAAGTTATTTCAAAAATACTCTTTCATGTCACCCTGTAGTTAACCCCTGTCTTTACCAATAACCCTTGTCTTATCCAAAAGAAACGTTTCTCGAATATTTTTTTTATTAATTTAGCTATATAATTTAATAATTATGTTCAAAAGTGATAAACTCCAACACCAATCTTCTAAAAAATCAAAAGAAAAATTTCTCAAAGACCACCATCAACAACATGGTGGGGCTTTTGTTATTAAAAGACCCGCACATTTACGTTCTGCTGCTATTGGTAATTTAAAATGAAAATTGTTTTTAAATTATTTAAAAATAAATAAAAATAGATAGCCCAGCAACTTCATCTCAAAATGATTCTCAAATTCTTAGTTCTCACGTTCTTGTAAGTAAATAAAATAAATGGAAATTATATATTTATTGTCTAAACACTTTAATTTCTCAATATGAATTGAGCAATTACATATAATTGAAAGACTCGATATCGAAAATTTAATTTTTGAATAAATTTATTTTGTAAAGTCGGCGAACTTTCTTTCCACCTAGCAAATAAAGTAAAATTAAAACGAGCGGAGCAATGGGATTGAGCGGTTAATAACTTTCTTTCGGAGAGCTTTCAGGATCAAATCCCTTCCAATCTTTTTTATTTTCTGAGAGGGGTTCGGCCGCTTTATTATTTATTAAGTTGCAGGGACAAACAAAAAAAATGTAGAAAATATGGTAAAATAAAAAAAACTGTTAGGTTGTAAATTAAAAGTTGAGAGAGCCAAATAACTTTATCAATCCCTTTACAAAAATTTTTTAAATTTAAATATTTAGTTGGCAGTATTCCCTTCATTAGAAGAATTTACACACGAAAGAGAAGTTCTTCGGGGAGTCTTAACAGATTTACAACAATATTTTTGTGATCTAGATATAGAATTAGAATGTTGTACTTTATTTGAGAAAGGGGATATATTGAAATGTATGGATGATTATTTACTTTTGGCTGATACTTTATCTGGACCTAATAGTACAGCTTTAGTTTTTGTTGGTGATAGATATGGAGAGGAATTACTTCCTATTGAGGTATAAAAATTAATTTAAAAATTGATTTTTAGACGTTTTTCAACGAAAAAACATTGTTTCCTTACTTCATTATAAAATACACCCAATAGATACTCCCCAAGTTTAAGATAATTTTTTTCTAAGTTTTGGGTGAGCAATGAGGCGAGGAGTTGTTTAGGCGGTACTGTTATTATTTAAATCTAAATGAAATTTGAGTTATAAAAGAGTACAATTACACAAAGGTCTGACGTTTAGAAAGTATTGTTTGGAAACACGGACTAAATTCGTACCAGAAAATATGGAATTTTTAATTTCCAAACATTAAATATGTAGTAGAAAGGAAAATAATAAAATAAAATTAAAACAATACCTAATAGGCTTCTACAACAACAAATACCTCTTACCTCAGATACTCTCTCCTTTATGAAATACATTTTAACTCACGAAGATATATCTTATATGTAGTGAGGGCCGACTTTTATTTAAAATATTTTAGATATCTTCTTTTGAATTTAACGCATTAAAAGAGGCAGCATTAGAATTAGCAGATGATGCTGGATTACTTTTAGAACTATTTTATCATTTAGACAGAACTAGAGAGCCTCAAGTTTATCAATTAATTGCTAATAGAGGTTATTGAGAATTAAATTATTGAGAATTAAATAAAATTTTGTAGATCCTGTTGGAGCTAGGAAATTATGTAATGGAATTAAAAGATGTGCTGCTAGGGCTTTTGAGGATGGGGCGGTTAGTTGTAGTAGATACATTTTATTTGTATTCCTTTCACCTTCAAGTTCCTTTCCCCCTGCCTATTTTTTTTTCAATCCACATTTATTCACAATTCAGATGAATTTAATTAAACGTGGAGATATGGAGGGGGGACATGTATAGCTTCCCCACGGTGATATGTGGGGGAAAACATGGATAGTTTCCCCTCTTTAGACAAGAAGCCTTAAATAGTTTCCATAGGATAGTTCCCCACAATCTCACAGGTTCCTTATCACCTTCTTAAAGCCATACTTTTATCGGAGGTGATTCTTGTATATTAATTTTTACAAAAAATATTTTTATTTCTGCAGTTTGGCCATTTAAACATAACACAAGAGGATCAAAAAAGCAATACACATTTTACAAAATCTTTCATTGAACTTTGTGCAAATGCTGCCAAAGCAAATGCTCATTCTTTAATAATTTCTAGGCGTTTTGAAAGTAAAAAATAAATAAGAAGAATATTTTAATATTCTAATTAGAGTTGTACCCCGACCCCGTACCCCGAACCCCGACCCCGTTCCCGAACGATTTTTTCACGATTCTCCCCGACCCGAACCCCGCCCCGAAAAAAAGTGAAAACCCCGTTCCCCGGCCAAAAAAATTTCGGGGTTATCGGGGTTTTATACCCCTAAAAAATGACATTTTTTGGAGAAATTAATGGAGAAAATTTAAAAAATTTCCACACATTTTACTTTGCTTTTTTTTTTAATTTTAATTTGAAAATATTAATTTTATTTTTAACTAATATCCCTTGAACCACCCTTAATCCTTCAACCCCTGTATTAGAAGTGGGTCGAAATTCCGATTTCCGACGTTTTTTTCTTTCCGATTTCCGAAATTTTGGAAAAATTTCCGATTTCCGAAAATTTTTAAGGCAAATTTCCGACGAAGATTTTTCCAATATTTTCAAAATTTTCGCCTGCGGTGTAAAAAACGGAAGAAATCTGGCTTCTAGCCTTCTATAATTCTCAAAATTTTCGCATGCGGCGCAAAAAATGGAAGATTTTTGCCTTAAGGATCTTCCAAATATTCAAAATTTTGCCTGCGGCGCTGTAAATGGAAGTTGAATGGTAATCGGAGGATTTAATCCCTAAAAATCCCACTTAATCCCTCCAGATCCACTTATATCCCAAGTTATACACTTTAATCTCTTCAAATCCCCTCTAATACTTCAAATCCTACTTAATTTTTTAATAAATCAACGAAAATATATCGATTTTTAACTATTTTTGAGCATTTTTTTCTCTAAAAATTTTTCCACTAAACCCCCGTACCCCGACCCGAACCCCGGCCATATTTTGCTCCCCCGACCCGAACCCCGCCCCGAAACAATTGGAAAACCCCGTACCCCGACATACCCGCCCCCGAGCGTTCGGGGTACAACCCTAATTCTAATTCAAAGATATTCCAGCAACTTCAAGTGGTATGGAAAGGTTAATGGACCCTTCTGGATCAGAAGCAGCTAAAAGACTAAATTTTTATAAGGTAAAAATTGATTACCTTCTATGTATATCAGGCATAGGATTGGCAGATGTTGAGAACTCCCCAGATATCTCTATCCGACCCGAAAATTTTTGAATATTCGGATTTTCTCAGAACCGGATTTCTGGATTCGTCAACCCTATTCCAGGGTTAATAAGATTTAGCTGTAAGGTCGACTGTTATATCTCACCCATGTTCCCTTCACATTACTTTTTTTTCCTTTCACAACTTGTGTTGACTTTGGAGAATTTAACATCCAAGAATCAGTTCCAAGAATTTTCAAGATTAACCTATCCAGCCCCAAAGCCCTATCTCCTTTTAGCCCACTTCTCATATCCTTTAATTTAATTTTAATTTAGAACAAAATAAGTTCTGCTAACAACAAAACAGCAGAACAACAATATTTATCTTTTTTATTAGACCTAAAAGGTTTAAATTTAAATTCATGGAGTCGAACACGGGAAGGAATTAATTACTTTAAAGAATTATCTTCCAAATTAATTGAAAAAATAAAAACAATAATTTTAAAAATATATCCAGAATATTTAAATAATGAACAACAACAACGTTTACTTCCCCCAACACCTAAACTTTCTGTATTAGAACAACAATTAAAAATTGCTAGGGTATTTAATTAAATATTAATTTTATGTATTTTCTAACAATTAAAATCCCTAGCGGGTTATTTTTCAAGTATTTTTGGAATGGGGAATTAATCTAACAAACACGAGAAAAAAAGGATTAAATGTAATGTCTCCTGTGTTCCAACCTCAAAACGTCTCCCAATTTTTCCCAATTTTCCTAATTTTGTAATTTTCTTGTTGAATTATGCTTTTAAGAATTAACAAAAATAAAAGAATAATTGTAAGTAAACAAATCATAATTATGGTTGTTGGTTCGGGACCGAACTATGGCGCGGTTCCGAATTATCCTAAGACAACCCTATACATGGACATAAAGACATACTTTTTATTTATAAAACAGATTTAATATACCTAACATATCTATGTATTCTTAATTTTCCCTTCTTTTTAGGCAGAAGAAATAATTCACAATGCCCACCTTCTCTCTCGAGCTCCAAAATATTGGATACCAAGAAAACGTTTAGATACCCAAATAGACTCCATAATAACCAAAATATCACAACTTTTAAAAGAACAAAATTCAAATAATTCAACTTTTTATATTCAATTTTATGGATTGCCTGGAAGTGGGAAAACAGCAACTTTGTGTAGATTAAGGCAGTTATTAGAAAATAAATTTCTAAAAAAAGATGGGGATGATGGAAGTGAAAGTTCTTTGCCCAATTTTGTTTTTATTACACGGTGAATCTTTTAAAAATTTAACAAATCCTCTCTCGTGTAACACCTCTCTGTTTACTTCAGCCTACTCAAGTTCCTTCCAGCCTTCACAGAGGATGAAAAATGTACTCACTTTTTTTTCAAGTTTTTTCGAGCCTATTCATTTTTCTTTGATTTCAATCAAAAATTTCACGATATCCAAACAAATTTTTGAACCAGAATACATGGTTATTGAGTCAAAAGCCCTTCAGAATTAACTAACTTCCACGATTAATTTTAAATTTTCTCGAGGAGATAATACATTGAATTATTTCTTTCTTATATAAAAATTTTTTTTCTAGTTTTATTCATTTAACGGATGGAGCTGTATTTGCAAATGAAATGCTTAGGAATATTTTTCTTTCTGTAATTTTATATTTAAAAATTTAAAAAAAAATTCAAAATTTTCATAGATTTGTGACAAATTAAAAAGGCCAGATTTAGCAACAGCTTTTATCAAAGCTTTTCATATCAAAGCAATTTTGGCAACCGCTAAAACAGCATTTGGAACACAGCAATCCCCAATTATTTTTATTCTCTTAGATGATGTTAATTTAATTAAATTTGGAAGGACTTTGGGAAGAATTAAACATATTTTAAAGAAATTATTGCCAAATATTTGCTTTATTTGTACTTCCTCTTTGAATATTTCTATACCTATTTTTGCTCCTCATACTATGGAATTAATAGAATTGGCATCGCCTACATTGGATGAAGTAATTAAACCAGTTTCCTACTTACGCTAGCTTCATTCTAATTGTGTTCCCTTCACCCTACCTATACCCTCTCCGGAGTTCTTTATGTCCCTTTCACCCTACCTATATTCCACCCAGCTTACACATGTTCCTTTCAACCTACTAATTTTCAACTAGATACTTTTCACTTACCTATGTTAATTCCATTCCAAAAATTATACCTCAAAATTAAATCAGAGAAACATTTAAAGGCAATTTCAATACTTTGTGGAATTACTAGTGAAACAGAAAAAAGTTCCTCATTTAAATTTACCTCTGATCAAATTGGCATTCTTCGGAAAATGTTACAAAAAAGTTCAGATATAAATTTAGCATTAGGTTTTATTCAAAGAGATGAAATTATTGGTGGGTATGCTGATGATATTTCTGAAACAATTGAACAATCTATTGGTACAGAATTTTTTCGTGAATTTAAAAATTAAAAAAATTATTTTTTAAAGCAAAAGCAGAATTTCAGTGTGGGACAGATAATGTTCGAATTTTTTGTGAATTTCTTTGTTGTGCTCCCTGTGGGTTAACTTCTTTGGAATTATTAGATGCTTTTAGAATGAGAAATTATGCTACTGGTTTTATGTTTGAGGTAAAGAGGAGAAAAATAATTTACTTCGAAAGTGTTCTGGCCAGCCCTACATGTCCCCTTCACCCTATTTTATATTCCCTTCACTTGTGATCGGAAAATGCAAAAATCTAATTTGAAGTTGCATTCGCTATTATTTCAAATTTAAAAATTATTCGATCGAATATTTTATTTGTTCGACCTCTACCCTCCATTACCTTAAGTTCCTTTCACCCTATCAATGTTATTAGATGCTTTCAGAATCTAATCTAGTTTTAGAATCTAGCTTTTAAAATATCCGTTCCGCCTCTATCAATGTTCTATCTAATTTTTAGATTTTAAACATTATTCGACTTAAAAATCTATTTTATAGCCTCAAGATGTATTAAGTGCCACTCCTTTACTTGTACTTAGACAACTTGGATCTCTTCTAGATTTTATTATAATGGATAGAAGAAGAGTGTTTGTTTATCATATTTTTTATTCAAAATTAAATATAATTTTTTCTAGTTATTTTTTCCGCTCAACACAATTTGCTCAAACAGTCCAGCAAAGATATTTACAAACAGCTGGGGATATTAAATTAGCTAATGAAACACTTGCAAATATTTTTTTAAATCCAAATGAGAATTTAGAAAATGGTAACGAACAAGAGGCTTCTGCAATGGCTATGGTCTTTCCTAGACCTTTATCTAAAGATGGGGGAATGGGTATTGATATAAGGAGAGCGAGGTGAAAGAATTTTAAAATTTGTAAAAGTTTTCTCTTTAATCCAATCGGATCTCAATTTGCATATAACCCTTGGGGCTGCAGAAGTTTTAAATTAACTCGAGAGTTTCCATTATTTGGGGTTTCGATAAGCAGCTTCTCTACCCAGAGGCCAACTAACTTGACATAAAATCAGGGTCCGTCTTTTATAAAGAGAATTTTCCTTAGACACTCCTTTTCTATATTGACGAGATTTGATTCTATCTTAGCTATAATCTTGATGTTATTTAGCTTTTTATCTTTTTAGATTTCATTGGTATTACTTGCTAAGGGCAGGTCTGTAATTTTCAAATTTAATCTTCATTAAATATTTAAATATAAGGTGGAGTTGAAGCATTAAAACGAGAAACTCTCTGTTCATTTCCTTATTTGGAAGCAACGTTTAGAGCTTTGGGGCTGGCTAGATTTCTTTCTATTTTTGAAGAGTGAGTTGTGAATTTATATATTTTATTTTTTAATCCTTACAATTTAAGGTGTTTACTTCAAATATTGGATAATGATTTACTTTGTAAGTAGTTATGTATTTATCATCAATCCGATCATAACTAGTGTTAGGCAAATGGATTTTTCCAATACCAATACCGGGATTAATGAGAGGTACCGATTCAGTGCTTTTGGAAGTACCACGGTAGTACAAAACTGTGACTAACACTAATCGAAACTATGTTCCTTTCAGCCTAGCTTTTTCGACTTTTATGTTCCCTCAGACCCTATATGTTCCTTCCAGCCTACCTACATATGTCTCATTCTAATTAAGTTCCCTTGCCACTCAATTCTTTATTTCTTTATCAATTATCATTTAACCATTTAATTATTTTAAGACATTCTTGAAGGAATATTACTTCCTGCAATTGAAACACTTGTTCGAGAACCTTTACAATTTGTTTCTGAATGTAATTAAAAATATTAAATAATTAATTAATTTTTTTCTAAAGTCTTGAATAGACTTCGATATACTCGAGCTAAAAATAGTGAACATTTAAATAGAATGGTAGAACAAGCAATGCAATGGACTGGCTAGTTTTTGTTGAATTTATCCAATTTCTCTATTATTTTTCCAGATTCTTTCGATTCCTCTCCTTTATTAGTCCCATTAACTTGTTGGATACCTCCTCCTAAAATACAACAAGTTCTTTCCTTTACAATGCCACAAGTAAAAATTTAAAAATATTTTAATTTATTTTAATATTTTTTAAAGTGGAAAGCTTAACGTACTACAATATTACAACCAACTTATAATCATCAACATTTATTAGGTTTTTAAATTTGTAGTGACATTAAACAAACATTATAAACTTTTAAATGAACTATAATTTATTAGAGAGCGAGCTGGATCCAGACCTTGATTTTTCCTGGATCCAGAGTCCAGACCAAGGCATTTTTCAGCGTTCCTTAATTTTTTTGACTCAAGGTCAAGAATCTGTTCAAGGTACCCAACCGAAATCAGGGTTAAGGTTCTTTGAAAATCTCGCTCTCTATAATTTGTTCAACATTTACAAGCAACACATATAATTTTGTTTTTAAGTTGCCGGAAATGAATTAGCTCCAGGGTGTATTTATATGTTCCATATAGCCTCACAATTGTTAATTCGAACATTTACTACACCAAAACACTCACAGGTGTTTTCAGAATTTATAAAATCAGAAATTAAAAACAAAAATAAACTAAATTATTTAAAGGTCACTTCTTTGTGTGCCTCTAGATGTAAAGAAAAAAACACAAACATTTCAATCCAACAACAACAACATTTCTTTACAAGTGCAACATCTGAGGGAACAATTCAAATTTGGAGTTTTACACAAGCAGACCCTTTAAAATCCTTGGAAGTTAGTTCTACACGGATTTTTACAACAGCTTTGAGTAGTGACGATAAATGGATTGTGAGTTTTTATTTTTGAATTTTGGAGTAAAAATCCAAATTTACGGTCAAATGTTTCTTTTCACGGGGACGGTGGTTGCGGTGGTTTTTGCCTCGGTGACGGGGACGGTAGCTCTGGGGAGAGGGCCTCCCACTGTCCACTTTGAACCACCGTCCCCGGGGATGGTGGTGGAACCCTATTTATACATAAATACAAAAAAAAGTCAGAAATACAAAAAATGTAGGGAGAAAGTGACATTTCAGTTGGCTAACATTGATAACTACCAGAATGCTGTAGGATCAATGCCTGTCCGGAGCTCTATTTTTACTTCTCTCTTACATATTTAAATAGAAAAATTTAAAAAATAGTACAAAAAACAAAAATTACAACAAAAATCACAAAACGATTGAAAAAAATTCATAAAATTTAAATTTTAAAGGTTGCCGGTTCTGCCGATTCTTGTGCAAGAATTGTAACTTTAGATAGTGGGAAAGTAACAAAAGTTTTTCGTGACCATACAGGTAAAGGAATGCTTCTTAAAATTAAAAAAAATTTTAAAAAATTAAAAGGACCAGTAGTTGGGTTACAAATTTCGTCAGACGATTCCTTGTTGGTTACTGGTTCTGGTGATTTTGCTGTTATGGTTTGGGATATTGAAAAGGAAATTATTATTGTAAATAAAATATTTTTTTTGAAAATTTTTAAATAATTTCTTTTTAATTTTTAGACTCGTCTACAAGGGTTTTTTTAAATTTAAAAAATTAATTTGTTTTAATATTTTGTAGTCTAATGGCCCCAGTTACTTGTTTGACATTAACTAGGTATTCAAAAATTGAAAAAAATTTTTTTTTTAATTTTTAATAGAAATGATGCCTTTTTGGCTGTTGCTTGTGAAGATGAAACTTTGAGAGTATTTTCTCTTGTATCGGCACAAGAATTGCATGAACTAGTTGGGCATGAATCGAGAATTAATGCTTTGCAGTCATCTGCTGATGATTGCAAGTAAATTAAATTAGGAAATTAGAAAAAATAATTTTTAATTAAAAAAAAAAGATTATTTGCTGGGACGAAAGGGAAAATTCTTGTTTATGGTTATTTTAGTATTTAAATTTAAGAAAAAATTAATTTTTTTAAAAAAGATATTCATAATGGACAACTTTTGGAAATTTTATTATTTCCGCAAGAAAGACAACCGGTTATTAAAGAATATTTTTTAAATAAAAAATAAAATTTAAATAGATTTCCTCAATTAAAATAAGTGACGATGATAGCTTTGTTTTGGCTGTAGCTGGTAAGAATACAAAGAAAATACAAAAATCAGAATTTTAAAAAATACAGAGGAATAAAAATCAGAATATCCAGAAATAAACAGAAAATTTTTTATTACAAAAAATCAGAATTCTAGGAAAATCAGAATTTAAAAATTAAAAAAAAATAAAATTTAAAGGTGATAGAGTAAGTATTTGGGCAACAAATTCAATAGACAGAGACGTTGCTTCCGCACACCAAAAGGAACAACAAAAATTATTAAAAGAATTAAATTTAAATTATCGAAGTAGATCAGAAACTAATGAATCTGCAGAAAGTCAAACATCTTTAATTAATAATAATTTAATGGGTAATAAAGAAGAAGGAATAAATGATGAACAATTACCTAATAGTAGTGTTTCTTGTATTCAAATAGCACCAGATGAGAAGGTTTGGAAGAGAAAGAAGGGAAAATACAAAGAAAATACAAAAATCAGAATTTTGGAAAATACAGGAAATTCTGATTTTTTGTAATAAAGAATTTTCTGTTTGTTTATTCTGATTTTTAATTTTCCCGTGAAAGCAAAAATCAGAATAAACAAACAGAATACTCTTTATTACAAAAAATCAGAATTTTAAAAAATATTAAAAATCAGAATATAAAATCAGAATACAAATACAGAAACAAGAAAATACAAAAATTTAAAGAAAATACAGAAAAATGAGAAAACACATTTATTTTATTTAGGGAGCCGGTTGTGGAACTGTAGATGGGGTTGTTGCTTTTTGGGATTTAGATGTTTGTCAATGCATGTAAGGGAATTGACAAAAAAAATTTTTTAAGTTTTTAAAAATAAAGGTGGACAAGTAGTCAACAAAGGACTGGGAAAGTGACTGCTTTGGGGTTTACTACAGATTCTTTTTTGTTGTTAAGCGGAACTGAGCAAGGTAGAGGAGGAAGGGGGGAGGGGGGGGGGGGGAGGGGGGGGGAGGGGGAATAAAATAAAAAAATTTTATTTTCAAGGAAATATTCATTTTTGGGCAACAGGGACAGGGCAATTGCTTAAACAATTACAGCTTCATACAGACTCGATTTTGTCCTTAAATGTTTTTGTTGATGGGGGAAGGAATGCAGAAATGGGGTGATTCTTAGGGAAAAATATTTTTAAAAATTTATTTATAGTCAAGTAATACCAACACATCAACAACAACAATACCAACCTTTAAGAGTTGTTTCTTGTGATTCTTCGGGTTTTATTTCATGAAATTAAATTTTCAAATTTAACTTAAAGATAATGCCCATATTTGGACTTTACCTTCCCTTGATGAAAATAGCCGGAAAATAGAGGTACTATAACAAAGGAATTAATTTTGTAGCCTTTCTTTCTAGTTTATTGCCTCAATTGCAAATATTTCCCCACCTCTATATGTTCGCCTTTCTGGTAAATAATTAAAATTTTTTCGAAAAATATTTTTCCAATTTTTAGATACAGTAATTATTGCTAAACACGCTTCCAACCCAAAAGAGTAAATTTAAATTATTAAAATTTTTGTTAAATGAATCCCTCTGTTTTGTGAAATCCTTCAAAATAGTTGAGTAAATAGAGGTTTAAGAAAGCTTTCTAGGTCTATACAAAATAATGAGTAGTCTGCTAAATTGGGGGTTTATTATATAGAGGTGTTTTGTGTGTTAGATAAAGGTGTTTATTAAATAAGAATGTCTATTAGATTAGGTATTTTACTATAGGTATTAGCAGTCTTTAGCCGAAGTCACCTATGGAAAGCGTCGAATAATTAGAGTATCCAAAATTTAGAAAATGTTCACTATATAGAAGGGTTTACAAAATAGTTCCACTACAAACATATCAGGGATCGCGCCGACAGAAAACCAAATTCACGATTTTCGGGAATCGTGAATTGGGTCAGCCGATCCCATGATACATTAAAATTTAAAAATTAATTTTAATTTAAAGAATGAATATATGGACATCTTCTGGTGATAGATTATTTACTCGTTCTAAAGTTCATCATAGTGAAGTAATTTTTGAAAAAGATAATTCTCAATTAACTTTCTTTCTCTTTTTTAAAGCCAATTTTGTGTTACGCATTAAATCGTTCTGGTACCATGTTAATTACAGGCTCTATGGATTGTTCTTTAAAGATTTGGCAAATGGATACTGGGGGGTTACTTATACAGGTAAATTGTTTTTTGATTTTTGTAGAAAGGGGAAATTAAATAGAAAAACAAAGTTTCGAACTTTTAGGGGGTTATTTAGGGAATATTTAAAAATTAATTGTTTCTAACTAGAGGAATTAAATATAAAAATTTAATCAGAATATTTGGTTATCCCTGTGAGGAATAGGATATTAAAATTGACAAAATATTTGTAAAAAATTGGGGAAAGAAAGAAGAAATTGGTAAGGATAGGGCGGTTCCGGATATCTGAAGATTTCCCAGGAATTGCTAACCTCTAATTCGAATTTGTGTCCTTTTTCCTCTTTTTTTCTCTTTTTTTCCTAAGAAAATTCAGGAACTAATTAAAAATTAAATTAAAATTTGGGTTTTAACAAAGACAAAAATTTTTTAATTTAAATATATCAAAAATTCATTAAATTTAAAAATTAAAAGATTTTGGTTGGCCATGAAGAAGTCCCAACTTGTTGTTGTGTTAGTGAAAATGGTCAATTAGCAGTTAGTGGTGCTAAAGATTTGTTTGTTATTTATTTTAAAACAAAATAAAAATATTTTTAAAGTAAATTAATTGTTTGGGATATACAAACAGGCTCTTCTCTTCATATTTTACAAGTTAATATTTTAAAAAAATTCCGAAAAAATTTTTTAATTTTTAAGAGATCAGCAATTCCCCAATTTATGGAAATTAGTCTTGATGGGAATGTTTTTTGTTCGAGTAAATTTTAAAAATAATTTATTTTGTTCTATACAGCAAAACCTCTATTTTATGGACAGTCTCTTATAAACTAAAAATCTATTTTAAAAAGTCCATGTTACTTTGGGTGTCTACAAAATAGAGGTTTAATTGTAGACTAAATAGAATGTTTGCAGTTAGTCTATAAAATAGAAGGTGGAGTTGTTTATATAGAGATGTTACCTAAACTCTAGTTTCTTCTTGTAAATTAAATAGAGTGTTCATTATTCATTAAATAGAGTTTTTTTAATTTTTGAGTGTCTATATAGAAGGTCCATATTTCTATTTTTTTCCATTTTTTATGTGGACAAGATGGTTGGATAGAAGCTTGGAATACTCCAACTGGAAGATTATTGAGTTCATTCAATACACACCGAGAAGTAAATATGGATAAATTTTTTGAATTTTCAAAAATATTTTTTAGATTGAACAATTAATTGTTGGGGCTGATGGGGATAGAATACTTGCAAAATTGGCAAAAACGGCCCAGTAATTTTTTTCAGAAAAAATATTTTTTGGATAACAAAAAACCCTCTAATTTTTTTATTTTCTAAAGACTTCCAATAATTTGTCTCCACAATACCCCAGCCAGTTTATCTTCAACTTCAGCCAGTCGTTATGAACGTGTAATTTTAAGTGGAGGTATTGAAGGAGAAGAAGAAAATGGACATAGAAAAAGTTTAGTTCCTTCATTTCAATCTTCCACAACTCCTCAACCTTTAAATTTAGAAGAAGAAGGAAATAATGAAGAAAGAAAAAGTAATTTTTAATTTCTGAAAATTAATTTTATTTTTCTTCCGTTTTCTGTTTCTGACAAAAATCCGGAAAACACAGTTTCTTTTTTCATTTTTCCAGAATTGTTAGACAAAAAGCGAAATAGTGGGTGCTTATGTGTATTATTTAAGAGAGACAAATTAGGAAAAGAAAAATTTTTATTTTTTAAAATATTTTTTAAAGGTTCAATTACTCCAATAAATTCCTCAAATAGAGATAAAGAAGAACAACAAATAAAACCTTCAACAAGTGATCAACAACAACAATTAATAAATAAAAAAGAAAATAAAAATTCTTCTTCAAAAGAAACAATTTATGCTGCCCCTCCAAGCGAAATAAATATTAAAGAAAAAGAAAATAATTATCAAAAAAGGAATATAAATTCTTCAACTCCAAGAAGACACCAACAACAACATTCTTTAATTAAAAAACAAATTAGTTCTTCTAATCCAGAATCTACAATACAAGGGGGGCCAATATCTACTTTAGATCAAAAAAGGAATTTAAATAATATTAAAAAATCGAAATTTTGTTTAATTATGTGATTTTTAAATTAATTTATTTTTTAATGTGAAATAAACATATCTTTTATTTATTTAAAGATTCTCGTTAATCTTAGTAATTAAGCACAGCCTTGGGAGTTAAATACCTAGCTGACTTACAATATTGGGAATTTTTTAATTTAAATTTATTAAATTTTTATAAACTTAAAAAATTAAACTATGAATTTGTGAACCTAGCAAATTATAAGGAAAAAGAAGATCCAGCTAACGAAAAAAAAGTTTTATTAAAAGAGCAAGCTGTCAGCGCACTGGTGGTTCAGTTGGTAAGGTGGCTGCAAAAGGGGTTGCAGGTTCGAGGCCTGCTCAATGTAAAACTTTTATTTTAAGGTATACCAAGTTCGTACGAGTAAATTTTTTGACTGTTTCCCAAAATTTTTAGAAAATTAGCTACTTGATATTTACAGGTTTTATTTTTTAAAAGGTTTCACTACAATTTTTAGAAACGACAACACATATATTAAATATCACCTAAAAACAATTCTATACATTTTTATATTATCATATAAACGTCATCACTGACTGCTTCCTTTCCCGTAAACATAATGTAAAATTTAAGCGTCTCTACAGGATTGCCTTCAACAATCATATTTGAAATATTTGTAACGGAGTCAAGCAACCACCACTTAACAATTACATTGACATTAACCATCTCGAACACGTCCTCCTCTGTGGTGTTGTTGATCGTGAGTGTAAGTGTTGCAGTAGCGCCCGCGTCAACAATATAATTAGGTGCCGTAACTTTGACAGATTTGCTAAAACAAAAAAAAATAATTTTATCAAATTAAATTTATTTATTTTACGTGGAAGAGACTGTTTTAAAAAAGCGCGGCACAGTCGAATTATTTCGAAGAAGAACATCCACCACCCTGATTCCAATATCGTTCAAATTGATTTGAACAATTTGTTCGTTGACAAGCTCCCTAAAAATTGGAAAGAAATGTTATGAGGATTTTAAGATAATTTGTATAAACTTACATTGTTTATGAAGAGACAATAAAAACAATTAAAACGAATAACAAAAGCCTAAAAAAATAATTTGAATGATGTGGACAAAAGGTATTTTGAAGAGATTATAGCCGGTTTTTAAAGTGCTCAAAATCAACGGTGGTAAATACTATAAAAGAATAATTCGAGCTCGATTCAAATTTTTTAATCCTAAACAAAGGTTCAGTTGAACGAGTCGTCGTTGTGGGCAACATATTGAAGTTGGAAGGTTTAATAATGGAGGTAAAGGGGAAATGGAAGGGATGGGGATTTATAATAAAATTTAATGAAATCCGACAAAGTAAAAAAAGTAAAAAATGACAAATTTTGTATTTCTGTTTGAAAATATTTTAGAGAAATTTTCTATATAATTTCTAATTTTTAACAACGATCTTGTAGTTCTCCTTCTTTTAATCCAAGACAGATACCCCATTCTTTAATAGTTATTGAACCATCTTTATTTGTATCGCTTAAAATAAAAAATATTAATTTATTATTTAAAAAGAATGCCCCTGAATCAGTTAGTTAAGCTGAATATTTTCAAATTTTTGCACAGATATTCAATTAATTGAAGATAATTCTCTAAAAATTTTGGGAAACAGTCAAAAAATTTACCAATACAAATTTGGCATAGTTAAATTAAAATTTGACATTGAACAGGCATCGAACCTGCAACCTTTTTGCAGCCACCTTACCGACTGAACCACCAGTGCGCTGACAGATTTTCTTTAATAAATCTTAAACGACTGTTAATTATTTTTTGCTAGCTGTATCTTCTTTTTCCTTATTAATTTGCTAATTTAACAAATTAATTTTTTAATTCTTTAAGTTTATAAAAATTTAATAAATTTAAAATCACAATATTAATAAATATAAAAAAACATTAATAAAGATATTTCTTGATAAAGATGACAAAGAGAAGCAAATGTTTTACTGGCAAAACCTTTTATTAAATAATATACTATGTATTATGTATGATTAAATAAAATGTTAAACTTTATCAAGAGGATTGTCTTCAAATTTTGGACATTTGAAATACTTAAAAAAAATTTTTTATTAATTTAAATCTCGATTAGAATAATAATAATAATAATCTAAAATCTCACCGACAGCTCTTTAAAATTTTTTTAAAAAATTGAGATTCAAAATTAAAAATTCAAAATTAAATATTTTCAGATGGAGCAGAGTGTACTCTATTTTTTCATATAATTTTCAAAGATTTTCGTTGAAAAATAAATTTACTATAAACTCTAGGTAGCTAGCGTAAAGTACCCAACCTTTGAACGAAAATGACAAAACAAGTAATTTTTTAAATGTTTGTTTGAACAAACTAATTAATTTAAAAGGTCTATAATGCTAGTTTAATGTCAATCTTTATTCACAAATTTAAAAATCTAATAAATGTTGATGATTATAAGTTGGTTGTAATATTGTAGTACGTGAAGCTTTCCACTTTAAAAATTATGGAAATATAGCAAAGTATTTTTATTTAAATTTTTGGTACTTGTGGGTGTACGGAATGGTCCGAGTTTCTCCCTCACTTTTTTCTATGTACTTGTCAGACAATCAAACAATATTAAATGTAGTCTGGAAAAATAATAGAGAAATAATTAAATAAAAACTAGCCAGTCTACCATTCTATTTAAATGTTTATTATTTTTTGCTCGAGTATATCTACAATACAAGGGGGGCAAATATGTACTTTAGATCAAAAAAAAGAATTTAAATTAAATTTTGTTTAATTATGTGATTTAAATTAATTTTTTTAAATTTTTTTTGTGAAATAAACATATCCGTTTCTTAAATTTATTTAAAGAATTCTCGTTAGTGACTGTACAGCCTTAGGCATTAACAGCTATCTGCCTTACAATCTTGGATTTTTAATTTAAATTTATTAAATTTTTATAGCCTTAAAGAATTAAACTATGAATTTGTGAACCTAGCAAATTATAAGGAAAAAGAAGATCCAGCTAACGAAAAAAAAGTTTTATTAAAAGACCAAGCTGTCAGACCACTGGTGGTTCAGTTGGTAAGGTGGCTGCAAAAAGGTCGCAGGATCGAGGCCTGCTCGGTGTCAAACTTTCAATTTAACTATACCAAATTATGTAAAAGTAATTTTTGAATGTTTCCTAAAATTTTTATAGAATTACCTACAATTAGTTGAATATCAAAAGCTGTACTTGATATTTACAGGTTTTATATATTTAAAAGGTTTCATTACAATTTAAAAAAAAATACATGACATACAATATATACATATTAAATATCACCTAAAAACAATTCTATACATTTTTATACTATCATATAAACGTCATCACAGACTGCTTTCTTTCCCGTAAACATAATGTAGAATTTAAGCACCTCTTCAGGATTGCCTTCAACAATCATATTTGAAATATTTGTAACGGAGTCAAGCAACCACCACTTAACAATTACATTGACATTAACCATCTCGAACACGTCCTCCTCTGTGGTGTTGTTGATCGTGAGTGTAAGTGTTGCAGTAGCGCCCGCGTCAACAATATAATTAGGTGCCGTAACTTTGACAGATTTGCTAAATGAAAAAAAATATTTTATCAAATTAAATTTGTTTATATTTACGTGGATGAGACTGTTTTAAAAAAACGTGGCACTGCAACACTATTCTGTCCCACACTGAAATTCTGCTTTTGCTTTAAAAATTTTTTTTAATTTATAAATTCACAAAAAATTCTGTACCAATAGATTGTTCAATTGTTTCAGAAATATCATCAGCATAACCACCAATAATTTCATCTCTTTGAATAAACCCTAATGCTAAATTTATATCTGAATTTTTTTGTAACATTTTCCGAAGAATTCCAATTTGATCAGAGGTAAATTTAAACGAGGAACTTTTTTCTGTTTCACTAGTAATTCCACAAAGTATTGAAATTGCCTTTAAATGGTTTTTTTGGTTTAATTGTGAGGAATAATTTTTGGAATGGAATTAGTATAGTCGAAGAGAACTTTAAGAGGCCTGGTAGAAGAGGGGTAGAGTTAAAGGAATATACATAGGAGGTCTGAAGTGAAGATAATTAGTAGAGTTCACACCCGGGCCGAACTCGGTAGTCCGACCGAGTATAATAAGATCTTGTTTTTCGGTTTGTCCGGGTCATTTTAAAGCTCCAACTCTATGTAATAATTAGAAGGAAGGGGACAGAGGTTGTTTAATTACTTCATCCAATGTAGGCGATGCCAATTCTAATAATTCCATAGTATGAGGAGCAAAAATAGGTATAGAAATATTCAAAGAGGAAGTACAAATAAAGCAAATATTTGGCAATAATTTCTTTAAAATATGTTTAATTCTTCCCAAAGTTCTTCCAAATTTAATTAAATTAACATCATCTAAGAGAATAAAAATAATTGGGGATTGCTGTGTGCCAAAGGCTGTTTTAGCTGTGGCCAAAATTGCTTTGATATGAAAAGCTTTGATAAAAGCTGTTGCTAAATCTGGCCTTTTTAATTTGTCACAAACCTTTGAAAATTTTGAAATTTTTTGAAAATTTTTAGATAAAAAATTACAGAAAGAAAAATATTCCGAAGCATTTCATTTGCAAATACAGCTCCATCAGTTAAATGAATAAAACTTAAAAAATTAAAAAAATTTATAAAAATTTTAATAATATAAATTCCAAAAAAAATAAATTTAATGTAGAAGTTGACGGGGAAATAATCTTTTTATTCGTTGGCCACATAGTCTGGCCAGGAGAAAATTTGTCCGGATATTGTGGAATTTTTTAACTTAGATCATTTGTATAGAGTGAGAGGAAAATGGATATGTTGGAGAGAAACATGAATACAAGGGTTATATTCTGGGTAGGCTGGAAAGGAACTTGGGTAAGCTGAAGTGAACAAATTAGGGATTGAGGTGAACATAAAAGAAGATTTTTAAATTTTAAAATTTCTAAAAAATCCACCGTGTAATAAAAACAAAATTGGGTAAAGAACAGGGTTCGGATTCGTACTTATTTTGGAAGTACAGTACTTACAAATCGACCTTCGTACTTCCAAAATTAAAAATGTACTTATTTGTAAGTACGTACTTACAAATAGACTTTTTGGTTAAAAAATTAAATTTAACCTTTAAAATTCCAAAATTTTCGCCTGCGGCGCAAAAAATGGAAGAAATCTGGCTTAAGGAGCTCCAAAATTCTCAAAATTTTCGCCTGCGGCGCAAAAAATGGAAGAAATCTGGCTTAAGGAGCTCCAAAATTCTCAAAATTTTCGCCTGCGGCGCAAAAAATAAAAGACTTTTTCGGTGCCTTCGGCACCGAAAAAGTTTTTGAAAAATTTTTTTGTAGCGTACTTATTTTTTGAAAATTTTTCCCCCTGTGTACTTCCAAATTGAACTTTTTGTACTTACACTTAACATTTTCTCGATCCGAACCCTGGTAAAGAAGAATTTTCATTTCCACCATCCTCATCTTTTTTTCCAAATTTATTTTCTAATAACTGTCTTAATCTACACAAAGTTGCTGTTTTTCCGCTTCCAGGTAACCCATAAAATTGAATATAAAAAGTTGAATTATTTGAATTTTGTTCTTTGAAAAGTTGTGATATTTTGGTTATTATAGAGTCTATTTGGGTATCTAAACGTTTTCTTGGTATCTAATATTTTGGAGTTTGAGAGAGAATGTGGGCATTGTGAATTCCTGGAGAAATAATTAAAAATAAAAAATAATATTTTTTATTAAATTTGTTTTAGAAAATAAGGAGAATGTTTATGCTCATGTAGCTTTCACCCAGTGACAAAAATTTTATAAAATTGTATTTTAACTTGAGGAGTATATAATAGGTAGGTAAAATAGTGAGGTCCGACTGTATTTTGATGAATAAGGCAAATTGGTTAACTGGAGTAATTAGGAGGGGTTAGTTAACTGGGTTGGAAGGTTGGAAGGTTGGAACACAGAGTTTTAATTAAATACCCTCGCAATTTTTAATTTGTTCTAAAACAAAAAGTTTAGGTGTTGGTGGAAGTAAACGTTGTTGTTGCTGTTATTGATATCCCGTCTTAGATAAACTATATATCTAAAAATATATCTATCCGGCTTAGATACTAGAAGTTACTTCAAAGTATGTTAGTTTAGGAGGACCCTCCCGATTATCCCGGCTTAGATAAACTTAGTACTAGAAGTTACTAAAAGTATGTTAGTTTAGGAGGACCCTCCCGATTATCCCGGCTTAGATAAACTTAGTACTAGAAGTTACTTCAAAGTATGTTAGTTTAGGAGGACCCTCCCGATTATCCCGGCTTAGATAAACTTAGTACTAGAAGTTACTTCAAAGTATGTTAGTTTAGAAGGACCCTCCCGATTATCCCGGCTTAGATAAACTTAGTACTAGAAGTTACTTCAAAGTATGTTAGTTTAGGAGGACCCTCCCGATTATCCCGGCTTAGATAAACTTAGTACTAGAAGTTACTAAAAGTATGTTAGTTTAGGAGGACCCTCCCGATTATCCCGGCTTAGATAAACTTAGTACTAGAAGTTACTTCAAAGTATGTTAGTTTAGGAGGACCCTCCCGATTATCCCGGCTTAGATAAACTTAGTACTAGAAGTTACTTCAAAGTATGTTAGTTTAGGAGGACCCTCCCGATTATCCCGGCTTAGATAAACTTAGTACTAGAAGTTACTTCAAAGTATGTTAGTTTAGAAGGACCCTCCCGATTATCCCGGCTTAGATAAACTTAGTACTAGAAGTTACTTCAAAGTATGTTAGTTTAGGAGGACCCTCCCGATTATTCCGGCTTAGATAAACTTAGTACTAGAAGTTACTTCAAAGTATGTTAGTTTAGAAGGACCCTCCCGATTATCCCGGCTTAGATAAACTTAGTACTAGAAGTTACTTCAAAGTATGTTAGTTTAGGAGGACCCTCCCGATTATCCCGGCTTAGATAAACTTAGTACTAGAAGTTACTTCAAAGTATGTTAGTTTAGAAGGACCCTCCCGATTATCCCGGCTTAGATAAACTTAGTACTAGAAGTTACTTCAAAGTATGTTAGTTTAGGAGGACCCTCCCGATTATCCCGGCTTAGATAAACTTATTAATAGAAATTACTTCAAAGTATGTTAGTTTAGAAGGACCCTCCCGATTATCCCGGCTTAGATAAACTTATTAATAGAAGTTACTTCAAAGTATGTTAGTTTAGAAGGACCCTCCCGATTATCCCGGCTTAGATAAACTTAGTACTAGAAGTTACTTCAAAGTATGTTAGTTTAGGAGGACCCTCCCGATTATCCCGGCTTAGATAAACTTATTAATAGAAATTACTTCAAAGTATGTTAGTTTAGAAGGACCCTCCCGATTATCCCGGCTTAGATAAACTTATTAATAGAAGTTACTTCAAAGTATGTTAGTTTAGAAGGACCCTCCCGATTATCCCGGCTTAGATAAACTTAGTACTAGAAGTTACTTCAAAGTATGTTAGTTTAGGAGGACCCTCCCGATTATCCCGGCTTAGATAAACTTATTAATAGAAATTACTTCAAAGTATGTTAGTTTAGAAGGACCCTCCCGATTATCCCGGCTTAGATAAACTTATTAATAGAAGTTACTTCAAAGTATGTTAGTTTAGAAGGACCCTCCCGATTATCCCGGCTTAGATAAACTTAGTACTAGAAGTTACTTCAAAGTATGTTAGTTTAGGAGGACCCTCCCGATTATCCCGGCTTAGATAAACTTATTAATAGAAATTACTTCAAAGTATGTTAGTTTAGAAGGACCCTCCCGATTATCCCGGCTTAGATAAACTTATTAATAGAAGTTACTTCAAAGTATGTTAGTTTAGAAGGACCCTCCCGATTATCCCGGCTTAGATAAACTTATTAATAGAAGTTACTTCAAAGTATGTTAGTTTAGAAGGACCCTCCCGATTATCCCGGCTTAGATAAACTTAGTACTAGAAGTTACTTCAAAGTATGTTAGTTTAGGAGGACCCTCCCGATTATCCCGGCTTAGATAAACTTATTAATAGAAATTACTTCAAAGTATGTTAGTTTAGAAGGACCCTCCCGATTATCCCGGCTTAGATAAACTTATTAATAGAAGTTACTTCAAAGTATGTTAGTTTAGAAGGACCCTCCCGATTATCCCGGCTTAGATAAACTTAGTACTAGAAGTTACTTCAAAGTATGTTAGTTTAGGAGGACCCTCCCGATTATCCCGGCTTAGATAAACTTATTAATAGAAATTACTTCAAAGTATGTTAGTTTAGAAGGACCCTCCCGATTATCCCGGCTTAGATAAACTTATTAATAGAAGTTACTTCAAAGTATGTTAGTTTAGAAGGACCCTCCCGATTATCCCGGCTTAGATAAACTTAGTACTAGAAGTTACTTCAAAGTATGTTAGTTTAGGAGGACCCTCCCGATTATCCCGGCTTAGATAAACTTATTAATAGAAATTACTTCAAAGTATGTTAGTTTAGAAGGACCCTCCCGATTATCCCGGCTTAGATAAACTTATTAATAGAAGTTACTTCAAAGTATGTTAGTTTAGAAGGACCCTCCCGATTATCCCGGCTTAGATACTCCAACAGGACGATTATTAATTTTATTCAATACTCATAGAGAAGTGAATAATAGGAGGAACCTCCCGATTATATCCCGAATATGAGGACCCTCCCGATTGTAAAAGAATCGTACCGGGTGGAATATTTTAATCAATATCAATCTTCGAAAATCGTCCTGATACAACCTCTAGTTTCATTTACTATGTCTCAAATACCTGAATAGAATCATAGAATATTCAATACTCTAAAACAAAAATTATATCCCGGCCTATATTGGATAGAAAGGACATCTAAATATAATGAATTATTATTAATGACAGAGTCGATTTCAACTAAAGTTGATTTAACTTCTTAGTCTTGTAATTAACTTTTCACAAAGTCGAGAAAAATATTTTTTATAAAATATTAAAGAAACATCTCCTTTCTACATTTTATGATTCATTTATTTATCCAAAATAGTATACACTATATAATTTTATCAAAATTATATCCTTTATTTATTTATTTTGTGAGAGAAAAGTATATTTACAACACCCAACAGCTGTCAATTTATCTCTCTCTCTAAAAAAAGATTTATCATTTCATTTTTCACTTTTGGCCTTATTTTTTACGTGCCACATTTAACTCTCCAAAAATTACTTTTTTTGTTTGCTCTAAAATAAAAACAATTGATTTACTCTTTGCAAAAGCAAAATAATCTTCTTCAATCTTCTTCTGAAACAACTTCTGTTGCTTTCTACTAAAAAGCAGATGGGGAGATATACATATCAATAAATAAATAAAAATATTGAGAGTGTTTAAACACAAAGTTTTAAGGAATAGAAAAAGTTTTATGATTTTATTTATCCTTAAAAATAAAATTAAAAATCTGAAATTTTAAAACAAAAATGTTTAAGTTTCTGCAGACAAATACAACGCCCAATATTTGTCCAGAACACTCAACATTCTTTAAAATAAGACATTTATAAATTTATTTTAAATAAGTTTGCCTGTAGAGGTTCGAGGGATAACCGATAATTACGGTCTTGATTTTTTTAAATTTAAACAAAAAGTTTTAGAAATTTTCTTAATATTAATATTTTTGTTTAGTTAAATATTCCAATAATTATTTAATTATTTTGAACAAAATCCTGATAATTAAATATTATTTTCAGTTTAAAACAAAAAATGTTATTTATTTATAGCAGTTTTATTTTGTTGATTTTGGCTGGATCTCTAAATGCTTCTAGAAATGTAATTATAAATTTATACCCTTCTATCAATATAGGACTTTTGTTTTTTATATTGACGAGAGTTGATTATTTAAATTAATCCCTAACCTAAGATAATCTGTGAGATGTTTGGGAAACTTTCAGTTAAAACTGGCTAGTCTGGTTAAAATTAAAGAAATTATTTTCACTTTAATTAATTTAATTAAAATTAAAGGAAATAGAAGAATTATTGGATGAATTTAATCAAGGTAAAGCAGGAAGAGAAATTAGAGAACAATCACGAGCTGTTACTCCTGGTAATATGTCTAAAATTATATTTTGTAATATAGTTTTATTTTTGTAGTCCCAGATCCGTGTGATCAGCATGTTTGTGGGTGGGGAAAGGAATGTGTTGTTGATAAAAAAGGACGTCCAGTTTGTGAATGTAAGTGAAAGGGGTTGTGAATAATCCCCTTTTTTGTGTAACCGCCGGGATGGGCCGAAAAATGACCAAAATATTTACAAGAAAGGAAATCCATTTTCGGGTCAAGATTTATAAAATAAAAATTTTAAGGTATTTCAAAATGTCCAGACCTTGAAGACGATCCTCTTGATAAAGTCTAAAAATTTATTTAATTATGTATTTATTATTTAATTAAAGGTCTGTGCTAGTAATAATCAAACATTTGCTTCTCTTTGTCATCTTTATCGGTAAATATTTTTCATAAAAGTCTTTCTGTTTTTCAATAAATATTGAAATTTTGAATTTTTTTAATTTGATTTCCTTTATGTAAATACATAAAGACAAATTTAAAATTATATCTTTATCTTAAATAAAAATTTAGTAATTTGTTTACACATCCGAAGAGTTTTAGAATAATAACAAACAAAAATGGATCAAATAAAGAGGAGTGGCATACCCTATATCCTTTAATAACTACCCTGGGTAATTATTGTTTCGACATTTCGCTGGAGGGAGTAATTAATCAAGGGAGGGTAATTATACGAAGTTTAAAATTTGAACGTGTTTTATGGCATTTGTTCGGGGGTAAGTATTGTTTCAATCTATCGCTGGATGGGGTAATTAATGGAAGCGGGGTAATTATTTGAGGGAGGGCAAGATTATTTTAAAAAAATTTAATAAGAATTATCTCTCATTTAAAAATTATTAAATTATAATTAAAAAATTTTCAGTCAACGATGTGTTTGCAAAAAAAGGAGTGGATTCGAAAATGAGTAAAAATTAATTTTAAATATTTAAAAATATTTTTTTCTAATTTTTGATGTGAAAACCCAACAAATCAAAAAATTCATTTGGAATATTTGGGTGAATGTAAACAACTCGATGATTGTACTAACGATTTAATGTTGCAATTTCCGGTTAAAAAATAAATAAAATTAAATTTAAAAATAATTTTAAAAAATTTAGGAAAGAATGGCTGATTGGCTATTTCAGGCAAATTTAAATTTAATTAAATTTTTATAAATCTTAAAAAATGAGAAAGGACGAGAGTTTTAAAAAGGGATAATTTCATTGTTAGTTGAATAACAAGAAAATATGTATCTTAAAAAGGAATGAAGGGAAGAACAAAAAATAAACACAAACTATGAGTAGTGTTTATAAGCTCGTAAGAATTCGTACTCGTACTTTGGTACGAAATACGAGTAGAGCAAAAAATAGGCAGATACGAAGTACGATGTCGAGGTCAATGGGGTGGCACGAAGCACTAACTATGATCCTATAAAGATTTAGAAAAAGTAAAGACGGGAAAGGAACTACGAGATAACCTAATGAAAGAGATTATGGGGTAAATGTTCTCCATCTTTAAATAAGGGGACTAAAACAATTTAAATTCGTAAAAATAAAATAGGGATATTTTAATTCATATTATTAAATACCTCTTTAAAAAGGTAATGAAAGAATTAAAAAAGCGTCGTGAACTTCAAGGTCTAGAATGGGAAGAACTTATTAATGAGGCAGAACAAAATGATGATAAACGTCATGTTTATCCAGTTATTTGGAAATTTTGTGATTTGGTAATTAATTTTAAGAAAATATTAAAAATTTAAATAATTTTCAGGACATCAAGGTTGGAAAAATAAAAATAAATTTCAAAAAATAAAATAATTATAGCCCCATGACAAACATGTTTCACATCACGAATTAATTCCGATTACTGCACCTGTTATTCCAATGGAAAGTTGTATTAAACCTTTCTTGGAAGGATGGTAATAAAAAAATAAAATTTAAAGGGGCTATTAATATTAAGGCATGTTAGGTTACTAAATATTTTTTTAAAATTTATTTCAAAATATTTTTCTACTCTTAAAATTTCATAGATTTAGATTAAGTTTTGCAAAATTTAGTGAAAAATATTATAAAGAAAGTGAAGATACGGCAAACAAAAATATTTGTTATGCAGTTTTTAAGATTATTAAAAGAGGAACTAAGCATGACATTGATGGTCCAGTCGGTTAAGTGGTTGGGAAGAATTAGTAGGATCGATGCCTGATTGTGGCTATACTTTTATCCTTTAGTATTACTATATCGAATTTTCGAAAATTTGAGTTTTTAAAATGTTTTTGACCAAAACTTGAAAAACACAAAATTACAATTTCTAAAATTTTAAAAAGAAGTTGGTTGAAATAATTTGTGAAAAAATCTGAGAATATACATGACTAACTAACAAGTTTATGGGCACTCGCCCAATATTATTTCTAAATAATATTTTTTATTTTAAGTGATACAAATAAAGATGGTTCAATAACTATTAAAGAATGGGGTATATGTCTTGGATTGAAAGAAGGAGAAATACAAGAACGCTGTTAAAATAAAAGAATTATATAGAAAATTTCTCTAAAATATTTTTAAACAAAAATACAAAATTTGCTCATTTTTTACCTTTTTAATTTGCCGGATTTAATTAAATTTTATTATAAAACAATTTATGCTTTAATTTATTTTGATTTATACAGTAAAGCAGCTGGGTTATAGCTATTTCTCTCCTTTAGCTAGTGCAAAAGGTTATTCGGGGGCTGGGAACAAACCAGCATCTTACATCACACCACCAGATTAGCCGACTAATGTGGCCAGTACACTTGCGGCCGTCGTTCCGCCCGACGTGCCCGGCTTCCTCGCAGCGGCCAAAAACTTATTCCGCGAACATATTAAAGTACGAATAAATAAAAATCAGAACAAATCTGAAATCATAACAAAGATCAGAACATAGTACAGTACCCGCACTCAACTATTAGCACTCAAATGACCATTTTCGAATTTAAAAAAAAGTGACAATTTATCTAACCACTTTTTGGTCGTGTCAATATTTTGTGACATTTCACCCTTGTCGAGCTTTTGGGATTCGATATTTTAAGATTCCATATTTTGGCTTTTTTAGCCGATCGAGATTTTGAGAATTATTTTGAGCGGTCACGTATTCGTCTCTCTTAAAAATAACACGCTATTTTAACGTAAGGCTTAAAACTAGAGTTCGGATCCGGATCGGATTTTGATCCAGAACTTGGGGAAAATACTTTTTCTTTATTTTTTTAAATAAAATTTTCGTTAACAAATATTTTCTTTGTTCAATTTTCTTTGTTTATTTAGGAAATTCTCATTTTATTTTAACAAAATCTACACGCAAAAAATTTTAAAAGAATATATATGTAAAAACATACTACATTAAATATAAATTGCTAACAATGTTCTCTTCCTCGTCTTCAACAAAGCTCAAATAAATTGTAATAACCTCATCTGGTGGGCCAGTAACCGCAAATTGTTCCGGATCGGCATTCCAAAAAGAGAATTCTACAGTTGGATTGATCAGATCAAATAATTCATCATCATATTGATGTATTCCAAGCCAAAAAGCAGTAAAGCCACCACAATCAACCATCACAATATACTTTTCCAGGGCTATTGATGTGAAAAATGCCAGGTTTTTTGATCTGTATATTTTTTTGTATTTTTTTTTCGGTATAATTTCGGAATACTAAACAAACTCCGATTGGGACAAATTATATGTCATTCGACTCAGCTCGGCGAGCTGAGTCGAATGACATCAAAATATCGATTGGGACGTAACTATGTGACGAGTTATAGGTCCCGAAAAATTGAAAAACCATAGACCAAGCACTTTTTTGGGGTGAAAAATTCGAATATGCAAATAATAGCTCATTTGAAAGAGCTCTTCAAACTGAGTCGAATGACACCAAAATCAGCGAAATCCGACTTGTTTTGACAAAGTTATGCTCGTTTGTTTTAGCTCCTTACCAGGGGTGTGCCGAAACAGATTTTAAAAAGCGAAAGGCGAAAAGGCGAAAGTCGATTTAAAAAGCGAAACACGAAAGACGAAAAGGCGAAAGTCATTTTAAAAAGCGAAAGGCGAAAGACGAAACACCAAAAAAGACGAAAATATCGCGAAAGACGAAAAGGCGAAACAACTGTAATAAGAAAAAATCTCTCGATATGCGTTAAACCAAAGCTTTGGTTAATTACCTACTTTCAAATCTTCTATCAAATTCTCCTAAACTTGTGATATCCTTATTAACCGCTAAATTATGGATATCAGAGGATTTAAAGTGATTAAAAAGGATATCAGAGGATGTGTATGAAAAACTTCAAATTAAAACTTTTATTTTTTCCTATCATTGGAAATCGACCATCGATAATTGTGAATATAGTTAAAAGATTTTGGGAAATCCCAGGATATCCAAATCCGTCGTCTGAACAAAAATTTCGATATCCGGATCCATAACCAAAATTTTTAATAAAATACTAAGGCTTACCCAAGTAGAGAAGTATCCCCTTTATCAGCGCCGCAGGCGAAAATTTTGAGAATTTTGGAGGTCCTTGAGTCAGATTTCTTCACTTTTTGCGCCGCAATAGATACCACTATGCTGGAAAATAACCTGTATTAACTTTTTAAATTTTGAAAATAAAGGTGTCTAAGGCACGGAAAATTCACTTTTTAAATTAAAAAAATAATTTTTTCATAGAAAAATTATAATTATTCTATTCATAATATGTAAATAAAAATCTTGTCCCTAAATTTAGATCCTTACCTAACAATAATAAACTGGTCACTAGTCGAAGTCTAACAACTTAACCACTCAACCATCAATTACTTTATTCAGAAAAAGAAAATTATATATTTATCTCCACTCGTCCTTAGTTTTTCTCTTTCTTTTCTTCTCCCAATTACCAACTTTTCCTCACATACATTAGGGGTGTATAATATTTTCGCCTTTCGCCCGAAAAAGCGAAAGACGAAAGGCGAAAGTCATTTTAAAAAGCGAAAGACGAAAGGCGAAAGACGAAACACCAAAAAAGACGAAAATAAGGCGAAAGACGAAAGGCGAAAGACGAAACGGCACACCCCTGCTCCTTACCTATGGCTTCCGTGGATGTTCTTGCTGCTGCGGAGGAAGCCGGGCATGCCCATCACAGCGATAATTGGAATAGGACTAAGTTACGAGCCCAGAGCCTGTAGACTCCCCGCGAGGCGCGTGCCGCAAAACTCCGCGCGAAGCGCGGAGTTTTGCACAAGCGCCTCGCCGACGTCCCATAGGTTTACGTTGTTCGTTTTCTGTCATAACTTCGAAAATCTTGACCAATCACGGCGATTTTGGTGTCATTCGACTCAGCTTGAAGAGCTCTTTCAAATTAGTATTATTTGCATATTCGAATTTTTCACCCCAAAAAAGAGTTTGGTCCCCCCTATGGTTTTTGACCATTTCGAGCCTTGTATCTCGGCCCATAGTTACGTCCCAATCGATATTTTGATGTCATTCGACTCAGCTCGCCGAGCTGAGTCGAATGACATATAATATGTCCCAATCGGAGTCTGTTTAGTATTCCGAAATTATTCCTTTTTTTCTTTTTAGTTTAATTTTCATAAGCGTTGTTGGGGTCAAGTTCCAACTTTGTGTGAGCCAGAAAATATTTCTTGTGGGTAATACCAAGGCTGGTCCCCCGTTTTTTCTGTTTTTTGTTATTTTCTATGGCAAATTATACCCATTCGAAAGAGCTCTTCGAGCTGAATCGAACGGTACTAAAATTATCGAAATCCGACTTAAATCAATATAGTTATGCGAATTTGTTTTAATAACTTTCAACATCACAAAAAGCATGTCCATCGAAAAGCATGTCCATCTAATCGATCATAGTATCACAGCTCGAGTATCTCTTTCGAATGATATATTCTAAATTATATGTCAAGCAGAAAAGCTTAAAATGGTCAGGGAAACTACCAGCCTTGGTATTACCTTCTTGTGATTTGGAAAGCCAATTAAGAATTGTTTGTGAGAAATACAGCGGTCCACATGCACAAATTGCAACTGAACTTCTTGACAGTTTGTTGCCAGGGTCTTCTGGTTCCATCCCTGCCTATCATGCTTCTACTTCTTCACAAGTCTTTTTAATGTTTTTTAAGAGAAATATTTTTTTAAAAAATTTTAGGCCGCCTTGATGACATTGTAAATCGTGGTTTGGGTGTTCGGCGAAAGGAATCGTCCTTGGCTATTGTACGAAATCTTCATAAAACCCGCGACAGATCTTCATCTGCTCCAAATATTAATATTGTTAGAGATGAACTAAGTTTTGACCAAATGGTTTGTTTAAAAATTATTTAAATAGTCAATAAAAATATTTTAGAGAACACTTCAAGCCAGTTCAATGCATTCTGGATTGTATAATTTTATTAGTATGCGTTAATTTTAATAATTTGATCTTTATAGTTAATTTTACTTTTTAAAGCAGGCCCGTAACTAGGATTTTTTTTCGGGGGGGGGGGGAATTTTATTGCGCCAAATTTTTGGCGCCGAAGGCGCCAAAAATTTTTATTTTAAGCGCCGCAGGCGAAAATTTTGGGAATTTTAGAGGGCCGTAGGCCAAAAAAATTCACTTTTTCGGCGCCGCAGGCGCCAAAATTTTGATTTTCAGCGCCGCAGGCGAAAATTTTTTGAATTTTGGACCTCAAGAAGCCAGATTTCTTCCTTTTTTAGCGCCGCAGGCGAAAATTTTGAAAATTTCGAAGGCCGTAGGCCAAAAAAATTCACTTTTTTGCCCCAGCCCTTCCCCAAATTTTTTCCTTTTTCCCATTTCGGGGGGGGGGGGGGGGGGGAATTCCCCCCCCCACCCCCCCCCCTGGTTACGGGCCTGTTTTAAAGATTCATCTTAAACCTGGCATTTTTCACATCAATAGCCCTGGAAAAGTATATTGTGATGGTTGATTGTGGTGGCTTTACTGCTTTTTGGCTTGGAATACATCAATATGATGATGAATTATTTGATCTGATCAATCCAACTGTAGAATTCTCTTTTTGGAATGCCGATCCGGAACAATTTGCGGTTACTGGTCCACCAGATGAGGTTATTACAATTTATTTGAGCTTTGTTGAAGACGAGGAAGAGAACATTGTCAGCGATTTATATTTATTGTAATATGTTTTTACATATATATTCTTTTAAAATTTTTTGCGTGTAGATTTTGTTAAAATAAAATATTAAATTGTAGTTTTAATCATTTAATTAGCCTTTTTTGGCCATTTTCTTGTACTTTTTTAAAATTCTTTTCGTCACTTTTGCATAGTTTATTTTATATTAACCATTTGTTTTCACTTGCCTCATTTCTTGATAAGAATTTGTTTTTTGAATTCGAATAAGTTTTAGGCCATACAACCCTGGATATGGTCTAGTTGAGAATACTACATGAATTAACAGGATTGATCTATTTTTAATTATTAATGAAAACATACTTTCTCTCAATCACTCCGCTTGTTTCTCATCTCTTTACGTTTTCTTTTATTTTCCAGAAAAGGAACATTATTCCTGTACGGTGCTTAGTTAATAGCGAGCGTGAGTGGCCAGTCTTCCCGTCATTTACTCCCTCACTCATTTCAGCAGCGCTTTAATCAGGTTTTTTATATTTTATGAACTGTTTTTAAGAATTCTTTTATAGGTATCATCTTCTGCCTCTGCATCTCCAACTTCAACTTGTTCGAGCCCTCTTGTCTCAAACTGTCAAAACTCCCAACAACATTTACTTATTGAAGGGCAACAACCAAGTATAGCTGTTGGTGGAAATTTTCTGCCTGCTCCGGTCACATTAACACCTCCACAATCAGCGCCGCCTCAAAAAACTTCACATGCCTTTTTTATGGATCAAATGAGGATTCGAAGCAAAAGTAATTTTTAGCTAGTCGGTAACTAACAATAAGCCGGAATAATCGAGGGCGGTCATCTAAACGGACATACTTTGAAGTAACTTCTAGAACTAACAATAAGTTTATATAAATCGGGATAATCGGGGGCGATATTCTAGAATTTCCATATTTTGAATTAGCTCCAAGTTTCCTTTTATTTTCCAGGTCCAAGTGATCGTGCGAATTTTGCAGCTGTTTCTCCATCAACTGCTGGAAGTGTTTGCTCACTTGCAGGAAAAGAATTGACTAGCACTACATCTCCAGGTTCTGGTATTGTTGGTATTCCACGTCGTGGTTGTGAGCGTTACAACAAGAAAAGAGGTGGAACTATTGAAGATTGGGCAATTCGAAGTGAAAATGTTATTATGAAGGAGAAGATAGGAAATGGATCTTTTGGGACTGTTTATAAGGCTGATTATTTTGGTTTGATTATTTTTGTATTTTTGATGATTTTTTACATTTTAGGTACTGTTGCAGTAAAGAAATTAAATATTACCAATCCTACATTAACTGTGAACGTTACAACAAGAAAGGAGGTGGAACTATTGAAGATTGGGCAATTCGAAGTGGAAATGTTATTATGAAGGAGAAGATAGGAAATGGATCTTTTATTACTGTATATAAAACTGATCTCCTCATCGTCTTCAACAAAGCTCAAATAGAATTTAATCACCTCCACGGGTTGACCCGTCGCCACAAAATGTTCAGGATCTTGTGCATTCCAATACGTGACATTCACTGTTGTATTTATCAGATCAAGCACTTCTTCGTCAAAAACTGGTACTCACATTAAGCCAAATGGACGTAGAACCACCAACGTCGACCATCCCAGCAAAAGGACGTGTTTGAAGAGAAGGACTGAAATTTAGAATTCATTTGATTGGCATAAAATATTTACTCACCAAGAAGAAGTGACTTTGAAATAACGTGGAACGGGTGCTGTGTTGTTGACTATAACTTTGACACGAGATGTCCCATAATGATCAAGGGCATTTTTACGATGAGTTGTTTGTCACTTCCCTATATAAAATAATAAAAGATTATTAACAAGGAGAGTTCGCGAGGTGTCCGAGCTAAAAACGGTCGAGACCGGGCTCATTCGATAGAGAATCTGCCCTTTCTAGCAAGGATTTTTTGCCGTTTTTGCCCGTTTTTTGATCTGGACAAGATATGGCCTTCCAAAGTCCCAAAATTTGGCATATTTTCCCCCCTTCAAATATAAACTTTAAATAATGCGTTTATTTTGTTGGCGCGGTGGTGTAGTGGTGAGTGTGCTTGCGTTACCCTTTTTCTCTAAAAAGTTCGATTCTTTTCGGGTTTTATTTTTTTTATCTAATTGTTTTAAACATTATTTATTCCTTTTTCAACAAAAAAATTTTTTTTAATTTTTTTAAAATTTTTGAAAATTAAAATTTTTTTTGAAAAAATTATTTCTTATTTTTAAATTTTTAAAAATTAAAAAAAATTTATTTGTTATGAAACTTGAATTTGCTACACCTGGCACGTCATTTAAAACAATTAGATGTATTACATTCAAAAGGGGACAATAATGGAAAACAATAACGGATCGGATGATCAAATTTTCCCGGGGAATCTTCTCCTCTCCACCCATTAATTGTCAGGATAAAGTTAAAAAAAATTTTTTCCGAAAAAAAATTTTAAAAATTAAAAAAAATTTCAAAAAAACTTTTTTGTTGAAAAGGAATAAATAATGTTTAAAACAATTAGATAAAAAAAATAAAACCCGAAAAGAATCGAACTTTTTAGAGAAAAAGGGTAACGCAAGCACACTCACCACTACACCACAGCGCCAACAAAATAAACGCATTATTTAAAGTTTATATTTGAAGGGGGGAAAATATGCCAAATTTTGGGACTTTGGAAGGCCATATCTTGGCCAGATCAAAAAACGGGCAAAAACGGCAAAAAATCCTTGCTAGAAAGGGCAGATTCTCTATCGAATGAGCCCGGTCTCGACCGTTTTTAGCTCGGACACCTCGCAAACTCTCCTTGTTAATAATCTTTTATTATTTTATATAGGGAAGTGACAAACAACTCAATCGTAAAAATGCCCTTGATCATTATGGGACATCTCGTGTCAAAGTTATAGTCAACAACACAGCACCCGTTCCACGTTATTTCAAAGTCACTTCTTCTTGGTGAGTAAATATTTTATGCCAATCAAATGAATTCTAAATTTCAGTCCTTCTCTTCAAACACGTCCTTTTGCTGGGATGGTCGACGTTGGTGGTTCTACGTCCATTTGGCTTAATGTGAGTTACCAGTTTTTGACGAAGAAGTGCTTGATCTGATAAATACAACAGTGAATGTCACGTATTGGAATGCACAAGATCCTGAACATTTTGTGGCGACGGGTCAACCCGTGGAGGTGATTAAATTCTATTTGAGCTTTGTTGAAGACGATGAAGAGAATATTTTTATATTTTACAATTTTTTGCGTGTAAATTTTCTTAAAATAAAATATAAGATATTAAATTGTAGTTTTAAGTTTTCTGATTCAATTAGCCTTTTTTGGCCATTTTCTTGTACTTTTTAAAAATGCTTTTCCAGACTTGGATAGTTTATCTTATATTAACCATTCCGTTTTCATTTGCCTCATTTCTGGGTAAGGATTCTTCCAGTTTTTGGCACTTAAACGGCAGCAATTAAAATGAAAAATTATGTATAGTGTGGGACACGCCCTCCTTGTCGCGGGCCACCTTGTCGCGACCACCTTGTCGCGACCACTTTGTCGCAGGCCACCTTGTCGCAGGCCCACCTTGTCGCAGGCCACTTTGTCGCAAGGGGTGAAAAATTTTTATGCTGATATGGAGAGTAGGAAAGAGGCATTCTGTGCACGATCGGGGTTTTCTGGAGTAATCTGGTTCGGTTGTACTCTGTCAAAACCTCCGGAAGAATTTACCCGGATAAGAGAAAATAATAAAAGGGAAAAAACACTCAAAAACTTTATCAAAAAATTTTTAAAAAAGCCATTGTCGCGCTTCACTAATTAAATTTGTGACCCTAAGCAGGGCAGTTTGGTTTTGTTTTTCTTGTCAATGTTCCCCTAATTTAAACATCTTCGTTCCTTCAGAAACTTCGAACTTGAAAATCGCCAGTCAGAAACTGACAGAAATCAACTAAAAAATTGAAAAAAAAACTGAAAAACAAAATAAAAATTCCAAACCTTTCTAATTTTCCCATCGTTGTAGCCGTGGCATGAAGTATGGCACATGGCGAGCAAAGTTTGGGCCAACCTTAAAAGAAAAACCAAAGGAAAGCTTGCGACAAAGTGGCCTGCGACAAGGTGGGGCTGCGACAAGGTGGCCTGCGACAAAGTGGTCGCGACAAGGTGGTCGCGACAAGGTGGCCCGCGACAAGGTGGGCCGTACCCGTATAGTGTCTATCCTCGTTAACCATACTATTTCTGCACGCCCAATTCGTCCCATCCCGATTCGTCCAACAGAACAAAATCAGTATTACGGAAATTTTGGCGCTGTATAGGATGAATGTTTTTTTCATTGTTCCCTTAATTCCTTTCGTTCCCTTAATAACTTTAAGTCATCTCAAAACGGTTGATTTTACCTATATTATTATGTTTGTTGATTTTCTACCTTTCATATTGGATTTTGTTTTTGAAAGATGATTAATTTTTTCTTTTAGAATAATGCCCAAAAATTCGCTTACTAAAAAGCTTGAACGAAACTCATCAGCTAGAAAAAATGTGGCAGCTGTTGGTGTGGGAATGAAAAATACAGTTAAAAATTGTATGGTTGAAACAAATAATAAGCCAGCTTTACAACATAAATTAATCCATTTACACCTTCCATTTCAACAACATTCTAAACTTCATGTTCGATCAGGAATCTCAGCAAGAGAAGCAATCTCAGCAATACTTAAAGTATTTATTTTTTAATATTTTGGGGTGAACGGAAAAATTCGGACACTTCCTATTTTGCTGGTTCCGTAAACTATTGGCCTCCCAATTAATGATCATTTTTTGTAGAATTTCTAATTTTGTTTATTTTTATTAAGCTCATCTCGATTACCCTACTTGCTTTTTAACTATAATTTTTTAGAAAAGAAACATTATTCCTGCGATGTGCTCAGTTCATAGTGATTCTGACCCTAAAAGTGAACAAATTGATTTACAACTAGATTTGGATGAATTGGCACGTAGACTTACTAGGAATGAATTATGGGTTCATAGCGAGTGTATGCAGCTATTTAAAAGTATTTCTTTTTTTATTTTAAGTAATTTTCTTAATTTTTAGGCATTGATCATGTATTTGTGCCGAAAACATTCCTTTCCTTGGTAAAATGGTTTAATTAGTGGCAATCAGATGTAAATGAGTTTCATGTACAAAAGTTGTTAAATTGGATCCAACTAGAACCATTTCTCTCTTGTCCAATTTACGCGTCCATCGCACCTTTATACGTCCAATCAAATTTTTATGTGTCCAATCCGTGCCCCGGTTCTGCACCTTTGTAGCATAAAATATATGGGAATAGAAGGTTTTACTTGTCAAGAGTTCTGGTACACACGCACGGTGCCTGACCATAGGTTCTAACACGCAGAACTGCGTGCTTATCGCCATAATTGGACTCAGAAATTTGTTTTTTTTGACGTGAAAGTTTGATTGGACGTGTAAGTGGCAATTAGACATGTATGTAATCTTGTCGAGACAATTATTTTAACTGCATATATTTATTTTTGGTTGAACCCTATTTTTTTCTGATTGCCTAATAATTCTAATTTTTATAATCTTTCATTTCATTTTAGACTTATTGTGGTGTCTGTCGCCGGATTATACTTTTTCAAGGCTATCGCTGTGAAAAATGCCAGGTTTTTTGATTGTTATATGTTTAGAATTTTTTTATTTTTAGTTTAATTTTCATAAGCGTTGTTGGGGGCAAGTTCCAGCTTTGTGCGAGCCAGAAAATATTTCTTGTGATTTGGAAAGCCAATTAAGAATTGTTTGTGAGAAATACAGCGGTCCACATGCACAAATTGCAACTGAACTTCTTGACAGTTTGTTGCCAGGGTCTTCTGGTTCCATTCCTGCCCATCATGCTTCTACTTCTTCGCAAGGTCATTTAATTTTTTTTAGTAAATAGAAATATTTTTTAAAAAAATTTTAGGCCGCCTTGATGACATTGTAAATCGTGGTTTGGGTGTTCGGCGAAAGGAATCATCTTTGGCTATTGTACGAAATCTTCATAAAACCCGCGACAGATCTTCATCTGCTCCAAATATCAATATTGTTAGAGATGAACTAAGTTTTGAACAAATGGTTTGTTTAAAAATTAATTAAACAGTCAATAAAAATATTCTAGAGAACACTTCAAGCCAGTTCAATGCATTCTGGATTGTATAATTTTATTAGTATGTTTTATTTTAGGGATTTTATTTTTTGTCTTTCTTTAAAAGATTCGCCCAAGCGATGTGCTGACTCTCAACCTCGTTCTCACACCCCTTCACTAACTCGTGTTATTAATGGTATCCGAACTGAACTTGACAATGACGAAGAACATATCAATAGTGCAGATGCCTGTTGCAGTGGAAGCAGCATTACAACAGCAACTAGCGGTATCGGTGAAAGTATTGTTGGAAACAGTCAAAGTGGTACAATAACAGCTGGTGGAGCTGTTTGTAGCTGTTCTTCAACGTCCTCTTCTTCACTCTTCCCGCCGCTTCTAAATACACCAACTGGCTTGGCTCCCCCACTTGTGAGTGGCCAGTCTTCCCGTCATTTACTCCCTCACTCATTTCAGCAACGTTTCAATCAGGTTTTTTATATTTTATGAACTGTTTTTAAGAATTCTTTTATAGGTATCATCTTCTGCCTCTGCATCTCCAACTTCAACTTGTTCGAGCCCTCTTGTCTCGAACTGTCAGAACTCTCAACAACATTTACTTATTGAAGGGCAACAACCAAGTACAGCTATTTGTGGAAATTTTCTGCCTGCTCCGGTCACATTAACACCTCCACAATCAGCGCCGCCTCAAAAAACTTCACATGCCTTTTTTATGGATCAAATGAGGATTCGAAGCAAAAGTAATTTTTAACTAGTCGGTAACTAACAATGAACCGGGATAATCGGGGGCGGTCATCTAAACGAACATACTTTGAAGTAACTTCTAGAACTAAATTTATCTAAGCCGGGATAATCGGGAGGGTCCTCCTAAACTAACATACTTTGAAGTAACTTCTAGAACTAAGTTTATCTAAGCGGAGATAATCGGGAGGGTCCTCCTAAACTAACATACTTTGAAGTAACTTCTAGAACTAAGTTTTTCTAAGCCGGGATAATCGGGAGGGTCCTCCTAAACTAACATACTTTGAAGTAACTTCTAGAACTAAGTTTATCTAAGCGGAGATAATCGGGAGGGTCCTCCTAAACTAACATACTTTGAAGTAACTTCTAGAACTAAGTTTTTCTAAGCCGGGATAATCGGGAGGGTCCTCCTAAACTAACATACTTTGAAGTAACTTCTAGAACTAAGTTTTTCTAAGCTGGGATAATCGGGGGCGGGCATCTAAATGAACATACTATGTTTATCATATATTTACGATAAGTGTTTTTATCTTAAATTTAATATTAAATGGATCTTGACTCCAAGTTTCCTTTTATTTTCCAGGTCCAAGTGATCGTGCGAATTTTGCAGCTGTTTCTCCATCAACTGCTGGAAGTGTTTGTTCACTTGCAGGAAAAGAATTGACTAGCACTACATCTCCAGGTTCTGGTATTGTTGGTATTCCACGTCGTGGTTGTGAGCGTTACAACAAGAAAAGAGGTGGAACTATTGAAGATTGGGCAATTCGAAGTGAAAATGTTATTATGAAGGAGAAGATAGGAAATGGATCTTTTGGGACTGTTTATAAGGCTGATTATTTTGGTTTGATTATTTTTGTATTTTTGATGATTTTTTACATTTTAGGTACTGTTGCAGTAAAGAAATTAAATATTACCAATCCGGGCCCTGAATTGTCATTGGCGTTCAAAAATGAGGTAACTATTTAAATTTTATTTTTTACTCGGTTTTATACATAACCTATATTTTTAAGGTAACAGTTTTGAGAAAGGCGCGTCATGGAAATGTTCTTAATTTTTTGGGAGTGATTAAGGAACCAGAATTGGTTATCTTTATTTTTTTCAAATTTTTTAAATTTTATTTTAAGGCGATAGTCACCCAATGGTGCTCGGGCTCTTCTTTATATCGTCATTTACATGTTTTGGAACCTAAAGTGGACTTTGAATTACAAACAATTTTGGATATTTGTAAACAAATAAGTCAAGGAATGAATTATTTACATAGTAGAGGAGTTATTCATCGGTTTTCTTTCAAATTAATTTTTAAAAATTATTTTTTTAATTTTTAGTGATCTAAAAACAAACAATATTTTCCTTGCTGAGGGAACTTCTGTCAAAATTGGGGATTTTGGATTGGCCACTGTTAAGACACGTACAAATGCCTTGCCCAATGGTGCGCCTAATCCAAACCCGACTGGCTCTATTCTTTGGATGGTTATTTACACAAATATTTTTTTAATCTTTAAACCTCCTTTAGGCGCCTGAAGTCATTCGAATGCAATGTGAAAACCCTTACAGCACACAGTCTGACGTTTACGCTTTTGGAATATGTCTTTATGAACTTTTGACTTCAAAATTGCCCTATGACGATATTAAAGACCGTGACCAAGTTTGTTTTGACTATTTATGAATCTTTTTTTCTTTTTTAGATATTGTTCATGGTGGGTAGTGGACTACTTCGACCTAATATTAAAAATTTGCGAAGTGATACACCCAGACAACTTCGAAATGTTTTTGAACAGTGTATTAGATTTAAACATTCTGAACGGCCTGAATTTAGAATGGTATTTATTTTTATAAATTTTCTTTTAAAATTAGAAATTTTTTGTCAGATTTATTCAATTCTTGACGAACTTCGACTTCCTAAATTAAAGAAATCTACTAGCGAACCGAATTTAACTTTAAGAAATCACAGTGCATCATCATCACATAAATCAAGTCCACATCATCACCAACAACATCAAAGACTGTAATTTAATTTTAAAGAATATTTTTCTTTAAATTACAAAAATCTTTGTGTATTTTTGTTCTAAAAATTTTTTTGCTGTGCAAACTTTGGGCTTTTCTTTATATTTAATTTAAAAAAATTGTTTTTGGATTTTCTACGAGAAATTATTTTTTTGTAAATTTTGTGAGGAGCTCAAAGCTTTTTTTATTTGACTCGTCAAAATTCCTTAAAATGCGCAATTCCTTATTTTATTTTTCTTTTAATTATGTGTCTATCATTTTTAATATTTTACTAATCAGGCATCAAAAATATTCTTTAATAATACATATATCAATTATTATTGTGCGAGACAATTTTTTTATGTTCGTGATAAAATTAATAAAAAAAATTAAAAAAATTTTTACATAATTTTTAATAAAAGATAAGAGAAACAATTTTTAAAAATTATTTTGAAAAAAAATATTAGCTTTTCTTTAATCAATTGGTATTGATTCCAATGTATACTTATTTTACATGTAAACAATTTCTTTAAAAAAATATTTTTATGTACACGTATGCTTAAACATAATTTTACGCGCAATAATTTGGGGTTTGCTTTGATTTTATTTTTTAAAAATTTATTTTTTTTTTGTTAGATGAAATGAAACTATTTGAAATGTTGATTATTCCGAGGAAATTTAAATTTTGGTTTGGTGCTTTTTCTTGTTTTATTATTTGTACTTTGTCTTTGGACGGTTAGTTTTCAATTTATTTAATTTTGCGGTTTAGAGATTAGTTCCTAGTATCCTCGATTCTGCTTGTATTTTGTTACCTAATGCAGATGACGTCCTCCGCAGAATTCCGCTTCTGCCTTTAGGTTCGACCTTGAAAGTAATGACCTGTCCAGTTTATACATTTGTGATTATGGGCCTGTAACTGAATCAAGATAATTCTGACAGAGATTCCTTTAGGTTTTCAAATTTCCCAAATTATTTTTTAGTATAATATTTTATTAATCTTAAAATTTTTAGAAGGAATTTTCTTCCAGATCTCAGAACCGGAAAACCTTGCCTATCTTTATCAGGTTATTTAAATAATTTTTGAAAGAATATTTTTATAATTTTTCTAGATAAATCCATCCTATCACATTGGACAAAAGTAAAAATTTGATTAAATTTATTTTTTTAATTTCTCTTTAATTTTTAGATTTCCTGATTATCCCATGAGAGTATGATTTTATTTAATAAAATTTTTTAATTGTTTTAAAGGATGCAAGTATGACTTATTCTGATCCACCAGAAGGATGTGAAGAGCTTAGTTCAAATTATGGAGAAGTTATTCTTTTAGAGAGAGGGTAGGCATTTTTAAAAAATAATTTTTGAAATTTAATTTATAGTGGATGTCCTTTTATTGATAAAGTTTTAAATGCCCAAAAAGCTGGCGCCAAAATTGCAAGTGAATTGTTATTTAAAGTTTAAAATTTCAAATTTATTTTTAATTTTAAAATAATTAAATTAAAAAAATTAATTTAGTAATTACTGATTCTGAAGTTGGAAGTGATGATTTTATTGATATGGTTGGTTATTTAGTATTTTTAAATTTTTTATTGAACATTTTTTCGGCATTTTTATTTGACACAGTATTGCTAGACTTATTGCCCATCTTACAAGGAACTATCGTTTACTGTGAGTGCGAATTTGATATATTTTTTGGTACTATTCGATAGGGACCCTCGATTTTCTATTGTTGTATGCGGGTTTTCTTGCAAAATTATTTTCTGCTACCTCGAATGGTACCAAAAAAAATATATCAAATTCGACTCACCGTAGACGACTTAGTTATTTTAAAATAATTATTTTTAATTTGGCGATGCAGGGGTTTAAGCATCACTCCTGTAATAAAATTCTCAAGAATGCATTTGGGTAGTCCTTTTTTATGTTAATTGGGAATTCGCCTAGTTATGATTTGGCAAATAAAGGGGGGATTTCCATAAATTTGTGCTCTAAAAATTTAATTTTAAGGTTAGTGATGATACAAATAGAAAGGCAAATATTTCATGTGCTTGGTTGCCTGGAAATTCTGGGTTTATTTTCTTTTAAATAATGAATTTTTAAAATTTATAATTTTTAGGAGGCGTATTAGGCAATATTTGTTGTATACAAATCCTTCTATAAATATTGATATTCCTTTAAATTACACAAACAAACCATTGAGGGACACGTATTCATCGAAACCGCATTGGTATAATTTTTAAATTAAAATTTTTTAATGGGAAAACGAGAGAGGAAGGGGAAAACGGGCATTGAAGGCAGCTAGACTCGTTTAGGCACATTCAGGCCTTAAAGCCCCTACCCCCTGGCTACGGGCCTGGGCATGTTAAAAGGTAGTTATTTTAAATCCCATGTTTTCGATAATTTTGTTATACATCTTTTTTAAGGGGGAGGTGAGCTAACTGAAAGCCTTATTATAACATGAAACAGAGCAATAAAAATTTAAAAAATTGTCTTTCATTTGGTACTAACTTAAGTCGAAAAATAATTAAATGAGACTCGATTTTATAATTTTATTTAAAAATTTTTTAGGGAATTGTGGTGATTACTTTTTTGTCGAAAAATGAGGAGATTCTCTTTTTTAGAATTTGACTTTAGAAAAGTGCAACAAATTTATTTTATTTTTAATTTTTTGTGCCTTTTTCTTTTTTTGTTCATGCCTTCTTTAAATTCTACTGATCAAAAAATATATTTAAAAACCTTTTAGATTTCGTTGACCAGTAGAAAATATTTTTAGAAAAATTTGTTTTAGTTATTTTACTTTATTACGGGATAAATTTAAAAATATTTTTTTGTAAATTTTTTAAATACATTAGAGAATAATGAAAATGTTTTATGAATGATTTAAAAATATTGTATATCAGGTTTAAAATACTAAAAGATTTGTAATTTTGGTTTGCTTATTTTTTTTAATCAGAGCGATTCAAAATTAATCTCACAATCAACCGAACTTAAATACACTCAAAATTAGGTAATCAATTTACGATAAATGTTTTTAAAATTAGTTATCTACTAGGTGGTGAAGCAACGTAAATAAATTTAAAAATTTCAAGCACCCTCCCGATTTTTAGAAAAGAAAATTGAAGATCAAAAGCATGGTTGTCAGTAAAAATAGATTCTTTGATAAAGTAACTAACCTGGAAAGTTGTTCTACAAAACAATGCCCAAAAGACTAAATTTTCAAAAATATTAAAGACCTCGAAAGTATGGAATTTAAATATAAATTTTGGTTTGTCAGAGTCTTCACGTCTCTTTTTGTAAGGAAACTCAAAACTTCAACTAAAACAAGAATAAATGCATTTTTTAATGGAAATAATTTTTAGTGAGTTTTTCTAAGCAAAAAAAACATTCAAATTTAATAAATAGATTTTCTCGTCGTCTGCTAAAGGTACACCAAAATATTAAATATTTTTAAATTTTTATATCTCTATTTCTTATTTCCATTCTCTACATTTGTGTAAATGTTAGACCTGTTTTCCCTTAATGACGTTTGACGAATGAGTAATTCTTTTCTGGGGAAAGTTTTTTCCTTCATTTTTATTCATTTCCTTCATTCTCATTTTTTTCTCAATGTGACAATCCGCCGCTCGCGTCCCATTTTGACGAGCAGTTTCTCTTATGTTTTGTTTAGTCAGGCGCCTCATTAAAAAGAGAAGATTGTTGAAGAGTTGGAGACTTATATATACTCTTTCTCTATCCCCGACTTATTTTTCTCTAAACTCCCCTTCTTTACTACAGCAAAAATTTTAGCAATGACGCACGCAGCCAATTCCTCTTTTTTTGCCACCACTTCATTCGCTCCCCCATACAACATTTTGTGTCTTCGCTTCGACTAAACATCGATTCTTCCTTCCCTCCTCTTCCCATTTTTCCTTCCCACATACTCCTTGGAAGGGTTGTCAAGCCAGTCACTACCATTGGACCTCCATTGACAACCAAAAATTTTTTAGACAAATTCTTTACTTTCCTCTAAAAAGGCCCTCCGATTCGCTTATTTTATTTTGAAATGTAAAAAAGCTAGTAACGAGATGCGAGCGCTCTCGTTAAGCCCTCAAAACCATTGGCTACCTAAAAATGTCTTTATAGATGAACTGCTGTTATTGAAAAGAGGAAATAAAAATTTTTTGTCTTTTTCTAAAATAGTTTAATGTTGAAGTGATGGCGCATAAAAATATAAAAAAATAAATAATCTATCCCCTATCTTTTTCTAACGCCCTCCCTGGTATCTTCCCAAAAATATGTGCTATTTTCCAGAGCGCGCTTCACTTGTGTGTGTCTATTTTCTTCACTTAACCAACCTTTTTTCTTGTCTTTTTTTTAATTCTTCGATTGAAAAAAATAAGAAATAACACAAAATAGGAATTTTTTTAATCAATTTATATTTTTATTTTGCAATGAAAAATGGTTTATTTAAAAAAGAGACAAGAGGAAAAAGTACGTCATTTATTTGGGTGCTTTTCTCGTTTCTTTTTTTATTCTATTAATTTTCACAATTGGAAAAATAATCAATTTATGCACTAAAATTGAGAGATATACTAAATAGTAAATGTGTGTGATATCTTTAAAAATTAGAGGGGAGGGGGGATATAAAATTGGGGGAAGAATAAAAAGATTTTTAGTAAAATTTTCAAAAAATAAATTTGGGAATGAAAATTGGAAAATTTTTGGATTTAAGAAAAATTGGAATTTGTTAACAAAAAATTTTTTTTGATTTTTACAACTTCAGAAAATACTAGAAACGAAGTTGTGTATAAATTTTTTTAAAATTTAAATTAGAAATTTGTGAGTTTTAATAAAGCTTTAAGATTTGATTTTATATCTTTGTTTTGAGGGATGGATTTTGCCATCCATTTTGAGAAGGATGGATTTACTGTCATGATTTTTCTGTTAAAATTTTTTTCACCTTCGATCTTTGTCTTATAAATGTTTTTTCTTCATTTTACTGATACATACATATGTACTTATTCACGCTTTATTTATTTTTTAAAAATTCGGATTAAATTTTTATTTAAAATTTCTTGTTAAAATGATACATTGAATTGTTTGTAAAATAAATATATTACATATTTTTTGTCATTATTCTCTTTAAAAAATTTTTCACGACTCTGAGGGCCCAATTTTCAATAAAATTGTTGTCAAAATTTAATTTAAAAATTTTTACTTTTTTAGATTTTATAGCTAACTTCTTTTTTTAATTTTGTTTTTAACTAATTAATAATAAAAAAATGCCTTGCCAATTGCCAGAAGGAATTGAGAATGTTTCAGATGATGTTTTGTAAGCAGAATGTTTTTTTAATTTTTGCTTAAATTTATTTTTTTAAAGTTCGTATATGTGCAATTTGGCAATGGAAAAATGTTCAGATAAAGGAGAGAAAAAGAAAGCCTCTTGTGGGGGTGCAGCAATGAGGAAAAGGTTTTTAAAGGGAAAAAACCTTTCTTTTAAGTTTTGAATGTTTAATAGATTGTTAATAAAGAATTTTGTTGCACAAATGTTATCACAAGAGCAGCAAACGAAGAATTTACAGCAACAATATTTGGATGCTAGAGAATGTCAACAAAATGTATATTTTATTTTTTTTATTTTAAAGGAGAGGGAGGCTCTTTTGAGTTATTTTCTAAAATTTGTGTCACAGTTAAATTTTGTTTTGACTGGGAATTTGACAAAAATACTGATTCTTAACATAGGAATAAGTTATAATTTTTTAGTTATGACTAGGGTAACACTGACCCACGACGAATTTTTAGGGGTGCAGCAATGAGGAAAAAACTCCCCACCCGACCCAAAGGCTCCCGGCAAACCCCGATCCCCGACACTGAAGGCTCGGGGTGCTACCCTTGTTATAACGGCAAAAATTAAACATGATTAGGATAATTCTAAAAATATTTTCTAGAAATAAACGGCCTTCCTTTCTCATATATCGATTTCCAATTTAAAAAAAATTCAATTTTAGTTAACTTCTACAACTTCTTGGATATCTTCACAATTAGCAGACGATAGACATATGGAAAGGGAAGAGGAAGACGAAATGGAAGAATTTAAAATAAGAGAAGAATATAGAAGAGTGGGTGAAGAAAAAGAGGGGGAAGGAGAGGATTATGATGAGGTTGAAGGTGAAGAGGAAGAAGATGATGGGGATGAAGAAGAGGAGGAGGAAGAGGAAGAAACAGATGTAGCTACTCTTTTCGCTGTAACTGATCAAAAAGAAGAAAATTCTTTTAGGCCGAGGTAATTTTAAATTTAAGAATTTTATTTAGAGATTTCTCTCATCCCCTCAAGGGCGTAGCCACGGGGCTTCTGGGGCTATAGTCCCTCAGAAATTGGGAAAGTGAAAAAATTTTTGGAGGGAAATGATCTAAAAAGTGCAAGAAATTTTGGCTTCTTGGCCTTCCAAAATTCAGAAAATATTCGCCTTCGGCTCTAAAAACTGAATTTTTTTGGCCTACGGCCTTCTAAAATTCTCAAAATTGAAATATATATCTGCACAAAAAATTTGCGATTAGAACGCCAAAACCCCATTTTAGCCCGCCCCCTGAAATCCATCCCCTGGCTACTCCCATGCTTCCCCTTCCTAACTTGGAAAATTTATTTGAGACGATTGGAGTAAAATTTTTTATTTTAGATACCAAAACAACACTTCTGTTGAAGAAGAAGATATTTTATTGGAGGAAGAAGAAAACAAAGAAGAAACAATTTCAAATAATTCATCTTCAACAACATTTTCTTCAATTTCTAATTATTCGACAGCTGCTAATTATGGTAGTTGGCCAAATCAATTAAATGAAGAAAAGAGGGGAGTGGAAGAAGATGAATTCCAAAAAGTGCCTATACAACAAAATCAATTGTAAAAAATTTTAAATATTTTTTTCTAAAGTGTAGGAATAGTTTTTGAATTTTAGTTTATTTTATGGACAGTCCCCTTTACTCTGATAACCAAAAAACGATGGGGAAAGGTTTGTAGGGGAACGGGGAAAGTTTCTTTGTATTTTCGACTTATTTGGGCTTTTTTCTATTTAAATAAGTAAATCTTTAACTTGATACAAAAATAATATTTAATTGTCATGGAGTCCTTGGCCCTATCATAAAATCTGGGAAAGTTTTTATTTTAAATTTTCGTTTTTCTTAGCTTTTATCAAATCAATCGGGCTGATTTTTATTTTATATTTATTAAAGCGGGAAGCAATTCATATAAACCCGAGAAATCAAAAAAATTTCCATTCAGAAATTTTTTATCCAATTTTTTCAAAAAACACCCTCCACATAACTATAAGTTCACCCACAGAAATCAGATAAGGAATGCTTGAAAAATTCTACAAAAATTCATGCAAACATTTTCATCGATAATAAGTAAAAAATAAAAAGAACGAAGTCTGTAAGTGCTTTTTTCATCGAGATCCAAAATCTCGAAAATCAACGGGAAATGGGGGCTACAGTACTTTAAAAATATTTTGGCAATCCAGGAGAATTGGGGTTTGTTCGAAAAAAAAGTTTAAAAATAAGAAAAAGGATTTTTCTAGGGTAAAAAAATATGCCGATTACGAATCTGAACTCGGATTTTGAAAAAGTCGAATCCCGAACCCGAACCGAATTTCGGACCCTGAACCCGGATTTCGAATAAGCAAATGATAGCTCGTTCGAAAGAGCTCGTCGAGCTGCATCAAATGACACCAAAATCAACGCGATCGGACCTGTTTCGACAAAGTTATTACATAAAGTATACCTATGGTAGTACTGTAGGAGTCGGCGGCTTATGTCATAACTTTGTCAAAACTTGATGAATCACTGTAATTTTGGTGTCATTCGACTCAGCTCGACGAGCTCTTTCGAATGAGGCATCATATGTATAAACTTTTTTTACTCCAAAAAATCACATTATGATTTTTTAATATTCCGGCGTCTGTATCTCGGTCCAGCCACGTCGGATTTCATCGATTTTGGTGTCATTCGATGCATCTCGATGAGTTCTACCAGCATATGAAAGACTGACCATTTTGTACAATGTCCAACAATGTCCGGAGTCAAATTCCGAATTCGGGTTCGGGATTCGACTTTTTCAAAATCCGAGTTCAGATTCGTAATTAGCGTATTTTTTTACCCTAGAAAAACCCTTTTTCTTATTTTTTAACTTCTTATTCGAAGAAACCCCAATTCTCCTGGATTGCCCTTTTTTCTATTTAAATAAGTAAATCTTTAACTTGATACAAAAATAATATTTAATTGTCATGGAGTCCTTGGCCCTATCATAAAATCTGGGAAAGTGTCAGGGCTTCAAAGAAAGTTTACTCACTTCAAAATATTTTTTTAAACAGTTATGCAGTTGAAAATTCTCTTTTATCTGGAAATAAAGATATTTATAATGGGTCATGGCATTTTTATGGAGGAATTGACACATCATTTGACTCTTTAAATGGAGGTTTATTAACAGAAAATTTAATGCTGGAGGACCAACAACAAAATGAACATATCGATAAATTATTAGAAAAAGATGGAAATACAACAAAATTGTTTTTAATGGAAAGGGCTGCTGAGCCGTTAATTGATGAAATATCTGAACATTCTCAACAACATTTAATTGGATTTTCTAGCATGGTTTGCTTTTTAAATAATAAATTGAGTAAATATTTGGTGGGGAATATTTGAATTTTTGTGGAGAATTTTTCCTACAGGTTTTTGTGTCAAAATAATGGGACAAGAAATCCTAATTTATTTTTTGTTAGATTTTTTTAAATTAATTGTTTTTAGGTGCCATATATAATGAAATTCTCAAATGAAGATACTCTTTTCTACAATCCTCTAGAAGGAGAAAATCAACAACAAAATTCTCGTTGTCTAACAAATTTGGATAATGCTAAACTTGTAGAAAATGAAAATATTCATCAGCAAGTTGATATTTTTGAATCGAGAAAGAGGTCTTGGTATTCACAATCGGAATGGTCTCATTTTGAGGAAAATAGTGGTGGAGGTATATTTTATAAAAACTAGATTTTTTTCCTTGTGATTTTTAGAGAAAATGGAATATAGTAAGGGGAATTTGGGGTTGTGTGGAAATTGAAAGAGAATTTAAGTTTCATAAAAAATTGTTGATAAACAATCTAACGATGAGATGCTTCCCCTATTTTTATTCCTCAAGAAAATTTTCTCGGATTATTTTTGAAATTTTTATTCGGTTTTAGATGTTTTTTTTAATTTTCATTCAGTTAATGTTCGAATATTTAATTTATTTTAAACGGGAACCCTCCAAGAGATCTTAAGATTGCCTTACTTTTTAAAATTTATTCATCCAAATTTTATTTTTTTCCAGTTTGTGATGACAATCATTTTGAACAACACCAACAATTTTCTCCTCTTTGTTGTGGTTTTCTTCAATTACAGCAATTTGGAAATAATAGTGGAACTGCACAAACATGTGGAAATTCAACAATTAACGAGCCTTTAATAAAACGGGTTAAATTATAGGAAAAAATAATAAAATAAGTATTAAAATTAAAAAGATCCTCAATCTTTTCTACTTATATCATTTCTAAAAAATGATTGTTTTTGTTGTTTATTTATATATTAAACACCTCATATATTTTTTAATGACAGCTTTTATGGGCTAAATATTTTTTAATCTCTTTTCTGATTTATAATTTAAAGTGTAGAGAGTTAGGTAGTTGTATTTTTGAAATGTCCTTAGAATTAGAATTTATTTTTTATTTTAGGTGAGACATAGAAATTGGGTAAAGATATATCGAAATTAAATATTTTACTTCCTATTTTAGAAGTTAAAAAACTTTGAAAATTGCCAAGGGCTAGCTTCTGGTCAATTTTTTGAATTTAAGTAAAGGAAGATCTCTAATTCTCTAAAATTAGAGATCTCCCATCTCCAATTCTGTGAATATTTATATTTTACTCTCTACACTTTAAAAATATTTTTCTCAAAAAAATTTTGATTTAAAAAATATTTTTGCCCATATATTTTTATTTCACATTTATTTGCTTTTTCTAATCTAAAAATCCTAAAAAAGAGCTGAAAAATTTCTTTTCTTCACTTTATTTGATCTTTTTTTGTATTTTGGCTGCCGTTAATTCTATAAACTACTACTCTATTATTTTTAAAATTTAATTCGCCTCAATTACTTTAAAAAAACCAAAAAATTTATTTAATCGCCATTTTGTTTTTTAAATATCATTTTGACTTTTTTTTAATAAAATGTTCTTTTACTCTCAATAAGCTGATAAACTGAAATTTCTTTTTTTAATAAAATTTTTTACTTATATATTTGTATAAGAATAAATTTAAATATTTTATTGAATGGGATATCGATGAAAAAAATTGTCCGCTCCGATTTTTGAATTAAATGGAGAGGGATTTTGATTAAGTCTGTCGGTATAATAATTACAAGATGGGGCCACTACATAAATTATCCCCTAGGTTAATCTAATAAAATTGTTGTTGATGATCCAAAAAAATTAAATTTTGTAAAAAAATTTATTTTTTCAAAAGAATTTTATTTTTTACAAACAAAATTTTAACAATTAAAATTAAAGAAATACTTTATCGTTTTGTCCGTTTCTTCATTTTCCCCTTTTTGGTACCTTTTGCTTTGAATGATGTTCGATTTTTTCTTTTTGTTGAAGAATCTGCATCTTTAGCTCCAAATTTTTTATTTCCTTTCCGATTTGTTTTAACTAAAAAAAATTAAATCATTATATAGATTAGGGTTAATTTTGTCCAGAAAAATTTCAGAATTTTTGGATGGTTTTAAAAATATCCTCAAAAATTACATTAGGATTGCCGTTTTCGAGTCGGGCTGACGTTCGAGTCGTTTTTTTGGGCCTGCCCGACCGAGCTTTTCGTCCCAGAATTCGATGCCCGACCCGATCTTTCGGACCGGGCCAGCAACCCTAATTACAATTCCTTTTTAGTACAAAAATAGAACATCCCCAAAAACAAACTTCCAAACAATTATTTTTCAATTATAATTTAAAAAACCTTTTCTTCCATCACTTTCACCATCATTATCAATTTTATATCGTCCAAATTCCAGCAATTTCCCCAATTCATCAACCATTGAAGTATTATGTTTTCTCTTCTTTGCTGCTTTTCTTTCCTCTCTTGACATTCCAAGACGTACAAAATTAGTTTCTTCATAACGACGTCTTGCTTCTGCATGGCGAGATTCTAGGCCATCATTTGCTAAAATAAAATTTTCTAGATATTTGAAGAAATTTTTTATGGACGGGGGATTTCAACTTCAACCCTTAAATCTGATTATTCTAAAAATAATTTCACTGTATTTTCAACAACGATATTTTTATTTTCGAACCTATTTTTTTTCCACAAGAAAATATTCATTCGACTATTTATTAGGGTCGGTTAGAAGAATTTCCCCCCAATTCCTAGGAAAAAGCTTTGGATTTAAAATAAATCCCTCCTTAAATAAAAATATACCAAAAACTGGATTCTCTTCTCGTATTTCCTCTGGTCTGTCCTCCAATTCATCACGTAATTCACGCACCAATTGACTATTTTGGGCACGTTTTTTAGCTCTATCCAATTTACGATCTGAACGTTCTTTTGTGGCTTGTTCACTTTCAATTGTTTTAGGTAAATTTTTGTTGTTGGCAGCAATTGTTTCTAAAGCTTTTCGACGCTGTTTGGTTGCATCACAAATATCAGCTGAAATAAATTTTGAAAATTAATTAAAATTTTGTTTTCAATAAAAACAGGGAAGTTTTTATAAAAATGTTTGAAGACATATTTTTGGCGTCTAAAACTCCCCACACATTCATTTAAATTTATGTAAAATAAACAAACTTTAAAAAACCCACAGAAAGAAAAATGGGAGAGTGCCTAATTAATCATCAAAATTCTTTATCACAAATCTTAGTTCCGACCCTTACACCCAATAAATGATTAACCAACTTATTGGTCTCAATAGCTATTTTTAAATTTATTAAATTAACCTTCATTGTCTGAAGATTCAACTTGTTCAATTTTGTCTTCTCCGTTACACATTGATTCATCTTTTCCCTCTTCTTTTTTATTTTTCGCTTGGCAACGCTGATAGGCAATAGAAGCCAAATTAGTCAACTCTTCAAGTAATTCTTGTCCATTTTTGAAATAATTGAGAATGTTGTTGTGACAATTTTTAGTATTATTTTCCGGTAAAGAATTAAATAATTTATTTCCAGAAACTGACATTCGGAGGTGAAATTAAAAAACAAATATGTATAGTCTAAAAATTTACAAAATAATTAAAACTAACATCTCGAGACCTTTCGAGTGAAAAAATGAATTATTCGACTCAATGTAAGATAGAGTTATGTCAAATTGTCAGCAAGACTCTTGTGTCTTTACATTTATTTTCAGACTCAACACAAACCTAAACCTTTAGGCTTGCTTGACACTAGAGTCTCGGCAACTTAGCATCAAATCGCCTTTTTCTATGCCATAACTTTTTTATTTCGATCATTTCCACAAATTTTCTTCATTATTTAGAATCTATATTTGTTTTTATTCTTTTTATTAACTTTATGAAAGGATCCGATCATTTCTTGTAAAGTTATACCCGGCTAAGTATGGTAAATCACGATTACTCGCAGTTAACGGCTTGTAACTTTTTTGAAAGACTGTATAAACTAAATAATTTCTTGGGGAAAATAACCGGCACATCCAGAGCTTTTAATTAAAGCAAAAATTATTTGGATTGATTTAAAAACAAAAAAGTTATGCCTCAAAAACTTTCGTTTTGATGCCATTTTTTAAGACTCTTACGTTACCTGGTAGATTTTAGCCTAAACCTTTTGAAGCCTAAACCTTTAGGTTTTTGAACATTTGAGTCTCAACACGTCCCCAAATTTTCTTTTTAGCTTTTCCTATCGTTTAGTCTTCTTAATTAGTGTAAAATGATGATCTTGGACTGATATTCTGGTATAGAAGTCCCATAAAATAAGAAATTTTTAACATATAAATCTGCTACATATATATTTTTAGATAATTTTAAAATGGCCGTATTAATAGAAACAACATTGGGTGATTTAGTTATTGACTTATTTATTAAAGAAAGACCAAATACTTGCAAAAACTTTTTGAAGCTTTGCAAAACAAAATATTACAATCTTTGCCAATTCTTTACAATAGAGACAAATTATATTGCTCAAACTGGAGATCCAACAAATACGGGAAGAGGAGGAGAATCGATTTTTGGGTTTGTTTTTTTTATAAATTACTAGAGCCCGGAATTTTGTACCGTGCCATACTAGATACAGAATACTGAGAAATACGGGTAGTAGGGTACTGTCCGGGCTCTATAAATTACTAAAATTAAATGTTTTGCGGATATTTTTTTGCTGAAACTTCTTTGGGAATATCCTTTTTGGCTCTTTATTAAGGGAATGAGGCACTCAACCTACTCCCCATAATAGTCGAGTTTTCCTAGATAATTCTCTGATAGTATATTTATGCCGTAGGTCTGTGTCTGTCTAGGACACTTTTTTCTGATATTTTTTCGTTTAACGTATTTTTTCCAATAATTCCACTATCTTTAAATTAATATTCGTCTATCATTTTAGTACTTTATTCGGCGAACAGGCAAACTATTTCGAAATGGAGAAAGTACCAAAATTAAAACATACTCGTCGTGGACTTGTCTCAATGATTAATAATGGCGAAGGACTTATTGGATCTCAATTCTTTATTACGTTGGCTGATGAATTGGATTTTCTTGATGGAAAACATTGCATTTTTGGACAAGTGGCGGAAGGTTTAGAAACGTTGTCGAAATTGAATGAAGAACTTGTTAATGAAACAAATAGGCCTTATAGAGATATTCGGTTATTTTTTTATAAAATTTATAAAAAAATTATTTTAATTTATAGAATTGCTCATACAATTATTTTGGATGATCCTTTTGAAGACCCCCCTCGTTTAAAAATACCAAGACGTTCGCCTTCACCTACAATTGATATTTTAAAGGTTTTTATTTTTTAACTTTTAAAATCAGTGTGAAATTTTTTTTGTATTAGTTAGAGTTTTGACCAATTAAATTTTAATTAAAACAGCAAAAGGATATTTTTAAATAAAATTTGCTATTTTTATTTTTAAAGCTCGAAAATCAATTGGCACTGGATGAGCGTATTGATGAAAATGAGGGTAAAACAGCTGAAGAAATTAAAAAGGAACTTGAACAGAAAGAAATGAAAGAACATGCACAAATTTTGGAAATGGTTGGTGATTTACATTATGCTGAAGAACGTCCTCCAGATAATGTTCTTTTTGTTTGTAAATTGAATCCAGCAACGAATGATGAGGTTTTTTTTTGTTGATTTTGGCTTCATCGAAAATTTATTTTAAAAGACCAACCCTTACCAATAAATTTTTAGGTAATTTTTGGGGTATTGTTTAAGAATTTTATTAAGATTATTCAAAAAAAATTTTGAATTTCTATGGATTGGTCTTTCTGGATTTTTTCATTTTTTGACTTACGGGGTGGAGAGCAGATCAGAGTTTTTATTTTTTCACTCCTATTATCATTCAGTTATTTTAGAGTTTATAACTTAAATTTCGATGGGCCTAAAATTTCAAACTTTAGAAAATTTTTAATTATTATTTTTTAAGGATTTGGAAATTATTTTTTCTCGTTTTGGCACAATTCTTAACTGTGAAGTAATTCGAAATAGAAGAACTAAAGATTCACTACAATATGCATTTATTGAATTCGAAACACCAGAACAGTGTGAAAAAGCTTTTATGAAAATGGATAATGTTTTGATTGATGACAGAAGAATTCATGTTGATTTCAGTCAATCTGTGGCAAAAAATTATCAATGGGATAGGAAACTTAAAAGTGGTTAGTTTTTTTTCTTTAAGAATAAATTAGTAAAAGGATAGTTTAGAATTGACTTATTGTTAGTCGGTTAAATAAATCAGGAGTTTAGGCCACTCATGCTAGTACAGTGGAATCTCAATTTTATGGTACATTGCTGATAATAGATAAACCTTATTTTATGGTACATTTTTTACAATTTAGTTAGCCCATCATATTTTTCTTAATTGTAAAACATCTTTGGGAACGAAAAAGACCACCCTTTTCTCAATATCGATTCCATGCTGAGTTTTTATAGTTTATTTGGTTTTTCGACTGAAAATAATCCTTATGTTCGTATTTTGAAAAATCATTTTCCTTACAAAATAGAGAAAGAGTAAAGCATTCTTTACTATTTTTTATCCTTTTATTTTCATTTAAACCTTATCAAAATTATTTTTTAAAAACATTATTAGGTGCAAAGTCCATTGAACAAAAAATGTCCTCTTCTCCTTCAAAAGATGCAACAATTCGTCGTTCTGACCATCAACGTTCTTTTACTAGCGATCGTCGTCGGGATGATAAAAAAGAAAGGAAAAGAAGGGATGAAAGTATTGAAGACGATGGAAGGAGAGAAAAACAAAAAATAAGTAGAAGGGATGTTGAAAGGGAAGAATCTTCAAAATATGAACGTTATTCTTCTAGAGACAAACATTCTTCAAGGGATCATTGGGAACGAAAGAGACGTTCATCTAGTAGAAGTAGAGAACGAAGAAGACACGATAGAAATGGAGAAAATTTGAGGGAACGACGTAAACGGTGATTTTTGAGTTAATTTATTAAATTAAATTTTTTTTGAATTTTATTTTTATAATATTTGTATAAAATTAATATTTATGAAAAATTGAAAAAAAAGTTTTGAAAAAATTAGCTATGAAATAACAAAATTTAAACCATTTTTTTGAATTAAAGAAATTTTTTCCGAAATTCTGGTCGAAAAGTTTCTTAAAAGATTCATTGAAATTCTTTGCCTGTTTACTTTTTTTTAGAAATTTCTTCTTTGTGAGCCTCTTCCTTTTAAATTTATAGAAAAAAAAAATAAAAATATTTATTAAAAATATTTATTAAGATAAAAAAGACAAAAAAAATAAGTTTATTAATAAATACTTTACTAATAAATTGGATCAACAAACAAATTTAGTTTTTGTGTTGAATAGAAAAATAGAAGCTTTTTTTAAATAAAAAGCTTTAAATTTAAATAAGAAAACAAAATTAAAAATATATAGGAAATTATATTTATTTTTAAGAGATGAGATCTTGTATTTAATAAGAAGTAGCAACAGAAGAGAAAAAAGATTAAAAATAAACAACGATTTATTTATTTTTTAGCTACTTCTCTTTAGAAGAAATATTTTTCAGAATTTCTAAGAAAGTTTAAAAAACTTTGGGTGTTTATAAAAATAAAATTCTGATAATAAATTCTGAACTTAAAATTCTGAAATTCTGAATTATTTTTAATAAATTTCAGAATTTCTAAATTTATTTTTTCGAAATTCTGGTCGAAAAGCTTCCAAAAATTCTGATATTTTTAATTATAAATTCTGAAATATTTTAGTAAAAATTCTGAAATCTTGTGGGAGAATGGATAAAAATTCTGAAATTTATCCATTTATTTTATAAACGTCCACGCCCAAAACACTGCTAGCGCCGAAAAGGGCAGAATTATTAAAATTATTAATATTAAGGGAATATTAATTAATTTCAATATTTTTTAATAAATTGAAGATTTTAAATGATGTAATTTATGTAAATGCCTTCGATTTTTGCGGTGATGGTGGTGATGATGTTTAGGGCTATTTTTACTTTTATTTTCTTCTTCCTCTTCCTCAATTCTTTGATATCCTTCAATTATTTTTTCGTCATTATCAGAAATTTCGCTTTTGGAGACGCAAGTTTGTCGATATACACGCATTCGCATATCTGTACGTTCATAAACACATTCATGTTTGTATGAACAACGACACCTTTTTTTGAAGAAAAAAATTAATTTTTTAAATTAAAAAAGAATATTTGATTAAAAAATATAAATTTTTGTTAGAATCCCCCCAAAATAATTATTTAAAAATAAAAATATTTAAATTTACCAAGATTTTATCCACTTTAAAGGTGCTTTTCCATCTAAAGAAAAACTATAAAATCCACAAGGTTCTCTTTCTGCCAAACAAGTAGGCGCTTCTTCATCAAAATATTGGGGCTAGAAATTGATTAAATTAAAAAAATATTTTTTTTTAATTTTATTTTTTAATTTCCTCTTATTTTCTAACAAAAAAATATTTAAAAAAATTTCTAAAAAATTAACCGGAAGCATTTCTTTGTCCATACTTAAAGGTAAATCTCTACGTTGTCGACCATTCACAATTTTAACTTGTAACAACAAAAATAAAATAAATATATAAATAAATATAAACATTCTATTAATTAATTTGTTGTTTTTATTATTAAAATTATTTTTTTTATTAATATTCTAAAAAATTAAAAAAAAATTTTTTGTTATTTTTTATAATTTATTTCCTCATTATTAAATCTATTTTTGGATGTTTATTATTTTTTTTTACTTTTAAAAAATTATTGTTGCATAAATAATGAGGAAATATTTTAAAAATAACAGAGTAAAATAAAAATTATTATGAAAATTTCATTATAAGAGACCCTCTATATTATGGTCTCCCTGTATAAGGAACCGCTCAATAAACCAATTAAATACATAAATTGATATAAATTTAATTTTTAACAGTTATTTAAGTGTAAATAAGGGTGACCCTTTCCAAAACACCTAATTAGGACGAGCCACTTAAAAATAATGCGAAAATATGGCATTATCTTTGAATACTAAAAATAATTAAAGTTTCAAATAAAATACTTTATATCTTTCACTATTTTTAAAAATTAAGGAACTCGGTATCAGTAGAAAAGAATATTTTTGTGTAGATTCTAAATTAAAATTATTTAAATAAGAATTAGCGCCGGAGGCGAAAACAGAAAAGTACCTAAATTTTGATGGAAATCCGAGATGCTGATAAATTCCAAAATTTATAATTAAATATTTATAATTAATTTATAATTTTATCCCTATACGCGCCCAAAAATTCTCTGCGCCCGAAAATAAATTTACAAAATCAAAAGTACACATACTACATACATATTATATTTTCTCAAATAATTTAATTAATTTTACAACAAATATTTAATTAATAAATTTCTAAAAATGATCTAAAAATAGTTACTAAATTTTTGTTATTAATTCAACAATTTAAAAATATTTTTTATTAAATGTTATCATCATTCTTCTTTCTCATTCCCCCCTTTTTCCCTTAAAATGGGTTAATTTTGACAATAACAAAAAAATTTATAAAATTGCCATATCTTCTCAATTAATTGTTTACATTTTTTTAATTTTAAAAACAAAATAAAATTTAAAAGAAAATAAATTTGTAGAAAAATTAAAAGAGGGTATATTTGGGCGCAAGGGGATACAGCGCTATAAATTTTGTAGAATACTGAATTAAAATATTTCAGAATTTTTGACGATAAAAATTAGAATTCTATGGGGGAAAATATTAAAAATAAATAATTTCTGAAATTTTAAACAGCAAAGCAGCTGGGCTCTGTTATCCATTACACCATGCCACCTACTGCACAGCCTTAGGAATTAAATAGCTACATGCTCTACAAGACCGAAAATTCTGAAATTTTAAGCCTCACAAAATTTTCAGTTTCTAACTCCTTTAAAAGAGATCCGCAGCATATTATCTTTGCGTCCAATTCGACAAAAATAAAAATTTAAAAGAAGGAAAAAATAAAGGAAAATATATTTTTAGAATTTAAAAAGTGTGATAATTTTAATGTATTTTAAAAATAAAAATAAATTTATTTAAAAATACTTTTAAAGGTTATAAATACTATATACTTTTACAACAAAAAAAATTTTTTATTTAAAAAAATTTTCTCTAACAGGTTTTTAATTTTAACAAAAAAAAGGAGAGGGGGAAATACATATATACTTTTGTAATAAAAATTATTTTTAAAAATAAGTTTTTTTAATAAATTTATTTTTATCATTAATTTTATTGGAAGAAAATTGCCTTTTTAAGAAAAAGATAAAATTAAATAATTAATTAATATTTATTTGCAATTAATTTTTAGTAACTTTTTTGAATAGAAAAGTGCATGTTTATTTGAGAAAGGGAAGGAAAGTATTTTTTCTTATTTTTAAAATAAAAATTAAAAACTCCTTTTCTGGTAAATTCTCAATTTAGGAGACTTTTCTATCTAAAATTTTTTTTTAAAATAAAGTTTACTCCAGACATGGTAGTGGACACGGATTTTGCTATCCGTATCCATATATATCCGCGGATATCCGGATATTATCTGTATCCGTTACCAAGCTTGGTTTATTCAATTATAATTTATCCAATAATTAAATATTTTTCCAAATAAAAGTGCCAGAATCATCGGCTTTACACCCCTAAGAATGGATTTTTCTGACAAAATTATATTTTCATCCAAAAAAAATGAAGAAATCTGGCCTCTTGGTCTTCTAAATTTCCCAAAATTTTCGCCTGCGGCGCTGAAAATTGAAGAATCTGTGGAGTTGTAGTATAGAAGATAACGGTGATTTACTAGGATTATGGTGAATTTAAAGAGATAACGAGGGATTTGCAATAATAAAGAGAGATATCAATGGATGATTAATGTTGCATAGGGGGTGTTAATACTATTGAGGGGATATAAAGAGATATGTGGCTAGTTCATCAAAATTCCACCAAAATTGAACCTAAAAATATTTTTCTCTGTTTCACTTTTCCTCTATTTCACTCCAATGGAGAGATTCTAAGGACTTAAGGTCAATGACAACAAATATAAATCAGAGCTGGGCTCTGGCTCAAAGAAAAAGCCCCCAGCAATACCCAACACTGATTATCTCTGCGGTTACAAGGTTTTTTTGGACAGGCTGTTGGCTTATCTTTCCTAATAATCGGGGAAATAAACTCTTAAGTTACCCTTAAAGATCGTTCAAGACCCCTTTCTATTTCACTCCAATGAGAATCAAAATTTTTGGCTGCGGCGCAAAAAATTGAAGAAATCTGACTTCTTGACCTAAAAATTCTCAAAATTTTCGCCTGCGGCGCTAGTAAGGCTTCTTTACCTTCCAAAATTTTCAATATTTTTGCCTATGTGCAAAAAATCGGAATTTTTGGCGCCGAAGGCGCCAAAAATTTTTGAAATTTTTGGAAAATTTTTTTATTGCTAATTCCCGACTCCCGATCCCGACTCCCGAGGTCATTTCCCGACCCGACTCCCGTTTCCCGATTCCCGGGTTTTTTCTTCTCCCGAGCATCACTACTGGCTATACAGTCAAATCTATCAGTAATTTTGAAAATGGATAAATATTTGTATCAATGTAAACAATTCTTTTTCTGGTAAATTTTATAATTTAAATTTTTAATACTTATTTTAAAAATTTTAAAATTAAAGAAATAATTTCAAAAAAATTTTTTTTAAAGATTTTAAAAGGAATTTGGGGAAAACAAATTTTTATTACACAAAAATAAAATTAAAAAAATTTTAAATTAACTTCCTAATCCCCTCTATTCGAAGTATAAGGAAGTTTTAAATATTTTAATTAAAGTTTTATTTTAAAATCCTAAGGATGGGGGGATTATGAATTGAGATTGTTAAACAACGTAAATTAATTTTTGGTTAAATAAAAAATATTTTTTAATTCGGAACAGGAAATGCGCAATTTTATAAGGAAAATGGAAATGT